CGACAAATAACAAGAGACAAACGACAAACGTAGAACAGACTAACAACGAACGACGCACGACAACCGACGAGCAAAGAAAAACGAGCGGCAAGAGTCTCGACGACAGACAAGTGACTAACAACAAACGACAGGTGACAAGTCACGAGTTACAAGCGACATACGACGAAAAACGATCGACGAAAGATAACAAACACAAATGGTCGAGAACACGAAAAATATAAAAATTAAAAAAACGAAAAATTAATAAAACAAAAAATACAAATTTCGAAAAATAAAAAAATTGAAAAATATTAAATTTCGAAAAATATAAAATTACGAAAAATATAAAATTTCGAAAAATATAAAACGTCGAAAAAAATAAAATTTCGAAAATTATTAAAATATAAAAATATAAAAATTCAAAAATATGAAATTTTGAAAAAAATAAAATTCAAGAAATATAAAATTTTGAAAAACAAACCAACGGCAATTGATGGAGTATGAATGACGATAGACGAGCGACGAACAACAAATAACAAGAGACAAACGTAGAACTGACGAATAACGAACGACGCACGACAACCGACGGGCAAAGAACAACGAGCGGCGAGAGACTCGACGACTTACAAGCGACTAACAACAAACGACAGGTGACAAGTCACGAGTAACAGGCGACGAACGACGACAGATGTTCGACGACATAAAACAAACACAAAAAATCGAGAACACGAAAAATATAAAAATTAACACATCGAAAAATGAAAAAAAACAAAAGATACAAATATCGAAAAATATAAAAAATTGAAAAATAAATATTTAAAAAAAATATAAAAATTCGAAAAATATAAAATTTTGAAATATATAAAAATTCAAAAATATATAAATTCAAAAATATGAAATTTTGAAAAAAATTAAATTTAAGAAATATAAAATTTGAAAAACAAACCAACGGCTATTGATGGGGTATGAATTACGATAGACGAACGACGAACGACAAATAAAGAGACAAACGACAAACGTGGAACTGACGACAAACGAACGACGCACGACAACCGACGAAGAAACACGAACAAAGAACAACGAGCGGCGAGAGTCTCGACGACAGACAAGTGACTAACAACAAACGACATGGACAAGTCACGAGTGAAGAGAGACAAACGACGACAAACGATCGACGCAAGATAACAAACACAAAAGGTCGAGAACACGAAATATATAAAAATTAAAAAAACGAAAAATGAAAAAAATAAATTTCAAAAAATATAAAAATTCGAAAAATATAAAATTTCAAAAAATATATAATTTCGAAAAATATAAAAATTAAAAAATATAAAATTTTTAAAAAATGTAAATTTCAAGAAATTTGAAAATATGAAAAACAAACCAACGGCAAATGATGACGATGAATCACGATAGACGAACGACGAACGAAGAACTGACGAACAACGAACGACGCACGACAACCGACGAGAAAAGAACGCGCGACGAGACACTCGACAGACAAGCGACTAACAAACTACAGGTGACAAGTCACGAGTGACAAGCGACGAACGACGACTGACGATCGACGCAAGATAACAAACAGAAAAGTTCGAGAACACGAAAAATATAAAATTAGAAAACGAAAAATAAAAAAAATACAAATTTCGAAAAATATAAAAATTCGAAAAATATAAAATTACGAAAAATATAAAATTTTGAAAAATATAAAATTTCGAAGAGTATAAAAATTCAAAAAAATATAAAATTTCGAAAAATATAAAATTTCGAAAAATATAAAATTTCGAAAAATATAAAATTTCGAATAATATAAAAATTCGATAATATAAAAATTCAAGAATATGAAATTTTGAAATAAATAAAATTCTAGAAATATGAAATTTTGAAAAACAAACCAACTGCAATTGATGGAGTATGAATGACGATAGACGAACGACGAACGACAAATAACAAGAGACAAACGAAAAACGTAGATAGACGAAAAACTAACGACGCACAACCGACGAGCAAAGAACAACGAGCGGCGAGAGTCTCGACGACAGACAAGCGTCTAACAACAAACGATGGTGACAAGTCACATGTGACAAGCGACAAACGACGACAAACGATCGACGGAAGATAAAAAACACAAAAGGTCGAGAACACGAAAAATATAAAAAATACAGGAACGAAAAATGAAAAAACAAAAATTACAAATTTCAAAAAATTCAAAAATTCGAAAAATAAAAAATTTCAAAAAATAAAAATATTTAAAAGATAAAATTTCGAAAAATATAAAAATTCGAAAAATATAAAATTTCGAAAAATATAAAATTTCGAAAAATATAAAAATTCAAAAATATATAGAAATTCAAAAATATGAAATTTTGAAAAAATAATGTTCAAGAAATATAAATTTTTAAAAACAAACCAATGGCAATTGATGGAGTATGAATGACGATAGACGAACGACAAATAACAAGAGACAAACCACAAACGTAGAACTGACGAAAAACGAACGACGCACGACAACCGACGAGCAAAGAACAACGAGCGGCGAGAGACTATCGTCGAGAGACAAGCGACTAGCAACAAACGACGGGTGACAAGTGACGACTGGTCACGATGGACAACGAATGACGATAAACGAACGACAAATAACAAAGACGAACGGCGAATGTGGAACTGACGAACAGCGAACGAAGAGCGACAACCGATGAGCGACGTACAACGAGCGACGAAAGATTATCTTGGAGAGACAAGCGACTAGCAACAAACGACGGGTGACAAGTGACGAGCGACAAGGGTGAACCCCTTCCTTCATTTTTTTAATATTTCGTCATATGATTGCCCTTCGTTGGCTGTCAGTTTGATGGCCTTGTTGGTGGGTCTTCTGTTCCTTGCCTTGGGGGTTTATTGATTTCTTTGGTGGAACTCTCCTTTTTCTTCACCGTCTTCCTGTGTTCCACTTTCTGCCAGTTCTCATCGGGGGTTTGGTTTGGTTTTTCAGTAACCAGCTATATGACTTCATCCTGCTTGTCTTTCTTGTCTGGTCTCTTGTCTTGTAGTGGACTTGGAATTTGTCTCTTTTTCTTCTGGGACTGTGCCGTTTTCACCGACTTCTTTTTTATCTGTTTGCCGAGTGTGGAATTCTCAGTCGTTTTGTTATTCTCTAGGAGAATTATTTTCTCATACATCCCCTTTTGGTTTTCTTTAATGTTTTCCCACCTATTCTTTAGGGTATCCATCTCTTATTGAGCTATAGCCAAGGTGTCCTTCACTATAACTGGTTTTTTTTCAGGATGTTGCTGCTGATGATAATTGACTCTGTAGACGGGCAATAATCTCCGAATTGTCTTCCAATAACTTTTGAGTCATCACTCGGTTATCTGATGTCCAGACCCTCTCATTACTATCCCCTGCCTTACGTGTGCTCTTCTTGGACCAGGGTTGCCTTGTCTCCTGTGGGTACACCAGTTGTCGTGGGGGTTCTTGGAGGTGATCTCCGCAGTTTTGACTTCCCAGAAAATGGGTTAAAACCTGTTTGCTCTATGCTTTCGCTTGTATAGTATTTCAGAGACGCCAAGCGGTTCTCGTCTCTGAAATTGCAGTCGCTGGTTGACGACCTCCGGGATCCTGCTTGCCCACCCCCGGCTGCCGGTACTGGGGTTCCGATCCGGGATCCTGCACCGTAACGGTTGATCCTGAGGGACCTTCCATCGTGGGATTCTTTTCGGGGTCACCTTTCCCTAGCGTTTTAACGCTGCCGCCAGCGTCTGGATTTGGTCCACGGGTGGTATTTTATTTCCCACCGACCCTCCGGCGTGGCTGGTAAGAGCATTCCCCGATCCGCCACCTGGGGACGCGTCCGATAGGAGACCAGCTACTCCCACGGATTATTATTATTATTATTATTATTATTATTATTATTATTATTATTATTATTATTAAGTAGTAGCAGTAAAATCACTATACCAAGAAAATGATACTTTGAAACATGAAACGGAACAAATCATGATATGTTAAAATATATTAAATTAAAGTAAGTTGAATGTTCAACTATTTGCTTTTAAAAATAATTATCTACTATGTAATATCTTAGTATATCTGTAACACGTTTTGTAGTACATTGTAGGCAAATGACCCCATATTGATGAATTTCCTTGGTCCTTTGAGCAAATGCTGAGATGTTCCCTTGTTTTGCTTCTGCACAATAAAATAAAATATGTAACTTCACTCGCTGCTTCCAAGAATATGTATACGATTGTACTTCCTCTAAATATATATTTGGCTCTCATACACGATTGTAATTGTATATGTGACTCAATAAACATTATTATTATTATTATTATTATTATTATTATTATTATTATTATTATTATTATTATTATTATTATTATTATTGCAGTGTTGAAGGAAAGTATTTTACTCTTGACATGATTTACTCTTACAAATTTACGTTTTGGAAAGCTATTTTGTATAGATTGTTTCATCAACATTTTTGATACCACTAGCTTACAAATAAAAATATTTGTGTAAAATTGAAAATAAACTTCCTAATAGCTGAATTGTCCAATCCTGTTTCATGTAGTTTCAAGTTCATGGATAACTCGTGCTCATGTAATGCCATTGAATGTCTGGCTGTTTTGGGAAATACTCGTAGAAATATTTCATCTTGTTTGTGTTGTAAAATAATTTATTTGGGTAATAAAAAATATAGTACAATTGTGCATCCCGATGTTATTACATCAAAGTAAAATTGAAAATAAACAAATTTAACTGACTATAAACATTTATATACCATAAATAGCATAGAAATAGATTACTCGAGTTTTCTTACCTAAACACCTCCAATATTGGAATCACTATTCGTAAACATGTATACCAAATAGTATAGAAAATACCGCAATAAAAAACAATAAATTCAAAACCCCGCCATTTGGGGTGGGATTTCAGTGATATCTTTCTGATTGGCTGCTTCTCTGAGTCCTTAGGAATGCGAAATCTTGCACACTGTAAAAGACAGTTACCTGTCAATACCTGACAGAAACCCTTCAAACACTCTTGGAGGGTTTGCTAATCGGTCACAAAGACTACAACAGTAATCTGTAACAGAATGGACGAATATTGTTCCATTTTCTCTTTACTCTCTGGTTGGCCTAGAATGTACCGACCGATTGTTTCTGACCCGGTTGTGTATTCAGAAACAATCAACATTCGCTGATCATAGAATAGCCTGGAACTGACTAGCTTAAGTGTGCTTAGGAGTCAGCGTTAGGAGTGCTTAGAAGGTCGTGGTCGTGAAGAACTGAAAAGGCTGGTTGAAGTAGTTTCGTTAAAATAACATAGGTTTCTGAGTTTTTGGTACTATTGAGTGTGTAAACGCAATTGCCTGCCTTTTTAAGTGGCTTTCTAAATGATTTTAGAAAGTGGCATGATAATTACATTTCAAGTACAAATTTTGTTTCAGGAGAAATGGGTTTGCACTTCGGAGAATTGGCCAAAATTCGGGGCATTATTACGTACAAATTATCGCCCTTTGAACAACGAGCGTTCGCAGGACTTCTCTCTCATGGTTTTCCGAACTCTGTAAAGCGTATAGCGAGTATGCTGATTCGCGTTGTGCCGCGTAAGTTGCCATACCTCGATGTTCATTGTAAATTAATTGTTTTTGTTGTGCAGATTTGGTTATTGACACGTTTCCTGATTTACAGCGTTTGCTGTTGCGTATATGATATATGATGGTGTGGAAAAGAAGCATCAGCAATTGATGAGGAAGAACCCTGCTGATTATGAAAATGACCAGTAAATCCTGAAATATATTTTAGTTTATGTAAATATTGTACTATTAATAAACAATATCTTAAAAGTTTGTTGCCTAATTTAATTTCGTGAGTAGAGCGAGTTTTTCAGAAGACAGAAATATTGGAAAGGGCTTCTTTTTGGAATTCATACATCAAAATTTCATTCAGGCACCAATTGAAAGGTATAACACGTTTTCTGTTCAGTCTAATGCTAACATAATACTGCAGCACCCTTTTTTTATACTACTAACTGTAAGTTTCATCTGAAGTTGATTCATTTGCAAGCGAAGTAATCACACCTACTAGGGGGAATTGATTGTTTATCCACACTGAATAGCGATCTGTGAATAAGAAAGTTGATAATTTGCAGGAGCTAAATATGTTTTTATTTCATAAGAAAGATCTAAAATACTTTCCTTATAGGCTGATAGAAGGTTCTTTGGCTAGTTTATGTATGGAAAATTTTTATTTCTTAAAAATAATTATTTACTAACATAAAAACTTCTTGGAACTCTTGTGTAAACCATTAAAGAATGAACATTAGTAGGGATATCCGAGAACGTGTATGTACAATTTACTTTTATTCATATTTGCGTTGCAACTAAATTTGAGTATGTATGACTTGTTTTCTAGTCTGCCCTCATAATTCTACACATATTTATGAAAATCTCTTAAGATTGAGCATTTTGATTAGATTGAATTGAATTTCGATGAATACTGATTTTTCAGTATTGCATGATTACCATGAAAATCAGTCTGACATGCAAAACTTACCTGTCCCAAACCATGAAACAATTTGTGGAGCATTAGGTATGCACGGCATTGAATGAAAATCGCATTAAATGCTATTTTTCATCTTTAAAAGCAGAGGCAACTTACACATCAACTGCTCTATTCCCCAATGATGATTGATATTTGATTGTAAACTATTAATCAATAGCGTAGAAGGTTGTAGAACTGATGTTTTCTCCTGCAGGTTTTATGCAGCCATAAAATATTAATATATTTTCTACTTCATTCTTTTAAATTTGCCTTCAGCACCCAAGTTAACAGCATGCAAAATCTGCATAGGAAAACTAATAAAATTAATCTAGGTTATTACTGGTTGAAAGTCACAACTACCAATAGCCATTATCATAGGATGTCTTCAAAAGTGCATGGGAAGAATGGGATAAAAAAAATGAATAAATAACATTTAATTAGTTTGTTGAAAATTAGAATCAACTATATTGAAATTACCTTTAAAATATAAAATGTTTTAATTGCTATTTTATTAGGTATATTGTTTTGGAAAAATTTCAGAAAGGTTGTGCATTTAACTATCATTTTCACAATTGCTATCAAGTCAATCTTTGTTTACAACCTTACAACCTATGAAAGACATTTTTCTTCAAAGTGATAACGGCAAAATTGTGGTTTATTATTACACTTTCAAAATGATTCAAAGTTAAGTCTAAATTGTTACCTAAAGTACTTGACAACACTTACGTGCTGTGTATTCTCTTGTATAAGTTGTTCTTGACAGAGAGTGAATGGGTTTGACAAAGCTCATAGATTGAATCAATTTGTCATTCACATAAAATAAAATTAAACTGTGAGAAGAACATAATTGATCACCTATTTAAATATGTGAACAGTAGGGTAACATTTGATATATAATCTCTAATTATAATAAAATAAGAAAGGTCACAATAATTATAGATCATATATTTATTTTCCAGATACCTGGAAACAGATGTACTTCTTTCAATCTATTATAGCGTAATCTCACAACTTCAATATGGTATTGAAATATGGGGAGGTACAACACAAAAAAAAATTGATAGAGTAATGGTCCTAATTAATTAATTCCTAGACATACTGCTTGATACTATCTGCAAGTCTATAATCAATAAAATATTATTACTATTATAATTGTGCTGGAGGGTGTACTCATTGCTGTTCAAAGTACACACAGTATGTTCAAAGGGTTTCTCAGGTTAAGAGGTGAAGTCAAAGCTGGTTTATCTACACAATTGGCACTTGCCATGGGCTTTCAGGAATGTGAAACTGATTTAGTTTTACTTTCTAAGTGTACATGATTCACAGAAAGTGTTCAATTCAAATAAAATGAAATGAAAAGATATATCACAAAATTGTGAGACATTTAATTATTTCACATAGTAGATTATAGAAAATGATATAAGGTGAGTGAATCTACGAAGTATTGTCTACACATTCATTTTCAACGCAAACTCTAGTTTACATGAAGTGTACAGTTTAGCAGATTGGATGATCTTTGATGGCATCGAAGGTAACTGAACTCTGACCTGCCAAAATTCATCTCCCGAAGGAATCAGAAAAATATAGTCTTGAATTGTGTGGGACTGTAGTTGGTAGAATCATACCTAGGTGGCATGGGGCCCATATTAGCATAAGTGGAATATTCCTAATTTATGCAAGGTTGTCAGCACAAGACCCTGACCACGATAATGCTTTGGAAAGCAAGGCTCTGGTTGGGTGAGGTCCTAGTTGAACAAAGAGCCCCCCTGTTTATAAACTCCCAAAACAGTGTTACTTCATATAAGGTACCTTTGAAAAACAGTGAAAAATGACACCAGATCCAGAAAATTTGTTTAATTGAAAATATTTATTCTTATGATCTTAAAAATAAGTTAGTACCTCAATTTATTATTATGTCCTTTCTTGCTTTCGAAGTCCCAAATTTATTTTTCCAAGAGCAGGATAATTCAATGAAAATTTTAATCTTATTAATTTATCAAAAGGTCATAATCTTTTATAGATTTTTGTTCAGAAAAAAATTATTCTTAATTTCTGCCCTGATACATATATACAGGATATGGTGGAAAACTTGTGTAAAATGCACTGCAACAATGAGGTAACAACTTTATAAAGTTTTGTGGACAATTTAGATCTTTTAGTTCTCCAGAAAATTTAGTATATGCTATATTTAATTTAAAAAATTAATAATTCCATAATCCTGTAATATTTATCATTGAAATTTATTCTATATTTTTGTAACTTCAAAAAGTACAAGTTGTATCATTTTCAAAAGAACCTTTAAAAATAATATTTTTTGAGGTCTCTTTTAGGGTCTTACATCATTTGAGTTTCAAATAAGTCATTTTATAGGTAGATTCCTACTACAAAATTCAACTCTAAAAAGGGACATTTCTCAACTGTCTTGGACAATTTTGTCCAAAACAGCATTCACATTATTTTACTTGTTTAATTTCTTTTCTTGTTTAGCCTAGAGTTGATCTTAAGAGGGTGAAACTTGCTCCATATAGAAACATGATATCACTAGTGTCTTGCATTTAAATTTATATATATTGCACAAATAGAGACTAAGTTTGTCTGAATAGTATTGTATATTGTGTCCTTTTACATAAATAGAGATATTTTGCATATGTTTCTTTTTTGATAAACACTAAACCAATATTTCATTCAGAGTTTGAATACTACTTATCAATTTCACAGTCTGACTAAAAGTAAATTATCATTCTCTCAAGTTATTTTAATTTACCACCTACAAATTATACTATAGGTCAAATTGATCTATTACTAAAAATTATTATTAATAGTTCTTATAACACCAGTAAAACAGAATCAGGAATATTTTTGTTCATATGCTTTAAGTTTGGTACTTTAAAGAAGCAGGAACATCATTTATAAAACTAAAACAAAAATAATTGCTATTTGAAAGATGCAAAAAGAATTTATTTCACGTAAAGAATAAGTTATCACTTTCTTTTCAAATTTGTTTCAGGTTACAAATCCACAATATGAGACTAGAGACTACTCTGAAAAAGCCAACAATTTAGAAACAACCCTTCCATAAATTATTACTACTGAAGTCAAGGTGCATTGTAGGCATCACGTGAAACAATGGAATGGCCTTGTTGGAAAGGTATGGTGGAAAGAGTACCTTTTGATTTTCCAAATGATGGAAATACCTGTCTTACAAAGGGCTGAGTATCAGCAAAGACACTGGGTAGAATGGAACCTTTCTATTCCTCAAGTGCAAGCACATCCATACATCATTTAGACACTTAAAACATTTAATTAATGTAGGTCAGCACATTATGAAAAATACTAATTTAGATAAAATGCAATTCTGAACATTAGAAAAGCGATAAGAATGAAATTGAGTGAAGTATTACCCTGCAGACATGTCTCTAAAATCTGCAGTAATCCAAATCACAAATAGGAACATCTGGTGTAGTGAAATGAAGGCGAATGCAAGTCTTGAAAATATTTCCATTCATAGATTCTTATTTTAATTACAGAAGACACTTTCAGTAATGTTTGCTTGAATTTGGCTACATTAAACATCTGATAAAATACACTAACTTTGTACACATCAGATGTAAGAGCTATTGAGCATAAGCATTATGCAAAATAAATTTTCTTAAGTAACAAAACATCAAATCATTGTTATGTCTTGTGCTTTAAACTTTAATTTCTTTCAATGTTTGTGAAGTTCAAAAGCTGTAGCAGAAAATATTACATCATTTTTGAGTTTTTCAGCATGAAGTATTAAGCTCTTAAATAATTCTCTGACCAGTCAATATCTCATCAGTATTGGAGCAATTTTAATACCCTTAGTTCACATCCTTGGTTTAAAAAATTATAGTTCTTGCATTAGATATTACAAAGAATTTTAACACTGTACAGTTTTAATCATTGTACAATATGATGTCTGTAAAATCCCCTGTCAGAAGAAGAAGTATTTAATTTACCAAACAAATGTAGTTGATCCTTTGGAAAACCTACCTACCCTGAACAACCTCTAATCATTTACAAACTATCTTGTATTCTTCATAGTATGAGTATATTATGCTTTTAGTCAGTAAAATGTATTTAGGGTTTCTGCACTCTCACAGATATATCTACATTTAGTTCAAAATTTTGATATTAAAATGTTATATGGCTTTCTAGAAATAACACTGTAAATTAAACATTAATAATAGTAATAATAAAAGAACATGGTAACAGTATAACAAACAGTTCAAACCCGCATATGTACTTTGCCAAGTGGCACTTTCAAATATCTTTGGGATTTTAAATTCCCATTAAGGTATGCACTTCGAGAAATTGCAATACTCCAGATAAGTGTGAAGTTAATAATCATAATGTTCTTTTGTTCATATTTTGTTAAATAATAGTGGTTTTGAAAGACTAGAATCACAATAAATTTGCATCATTCAACAGCTATACAAAGGAGGCACACTGATAAACAAGTTACAAATTTTGTATCACCATATAAATTCCAGCTGCTCTAGAAGAGAAGAAAGGAAAAAAAAGACTTCAAACAACATAATAAGAAAATTGATTACAATCACAAATTCTTGAATTTACATTCAGATTCAAAAACATTCCTTCTTCTTTACCTTCTGAGGCCACTTCCATTGATTTAGAAACTTGAGTTGTAAACTACATAAACTATCAAGAACTCCCAAATAAATTACTACAGAAATATACATGTAAATTCACAGATATTGTAATATTTAACACAATGTAATATCTAGAAAAGAATTATCAAAACAAAATAATATATCTACTATGTACACTTTCTGTCACACATAACAGTATTAAACAACTATTACAAACAAATTATACTTTGCCTGATGACAAAGCAACTAATTTTATGTGAAAACAGAACATTTCCATGGCTTAGTTTTGTTCTGAATTAAGAGACCTAGGGTCACACATTGCGGCAGTGTGGGTGATTATCACAGTAGACATTTCCCACACATTCCAGAGAACAAGACTGACACCAGGGAAGAAACTGCAGCACCTTTTTGAAATACCGATAACTTTGAAAACATAAATGAATTAAAGCTCTACTTTTTTACTCCAATTTATAGTACTTGGCATTTCTGTCCTATCACAATGTTTTATTTCTAAATTTTGAACACACGAATTCATAATAACAGGAAAGTAAAATGTAACTCAGTCACTTCTATTCACGAGCTTGAGTTTTGGATTTAAATTCAGCACTGGTAAATTATTCTCTACATTCAATATCTTGTAATATAAATTCATTTAATGTCATTTGATGTGAAGCACTCCTAAACACAAGAGCTTTTCCACTTATAGGAATTTTCTTCATATTTAGCCACTTTATCATTCAACAAGACCAATTCATGCTTAAAATCAGTCTTACAGCAGTCTGTACGTGCATCATACTCTTATAATTTATTTTTCAGTCAAATGTGTGTTGTACCATTAAAGGGCATTCTAACAACTAAGAGGGGTTGAAGTTGCACTAGCAGGGTATGCCCAACAAAACTAAACAAAAAACTCTTATGAGAGCTTTCGTTTTGTGATTCTTTAAGGAAGTAATGGCAATTCAGAAAAAAGAGGAAGATAAAGTGGTTAACTAATCTTTATAAAAATGTTCTTTTAACTTCATTTTCCAATTACTATGTGATCTGGGGATGCAAGATTATTCTCAGGATCTTATATGTATATCAAGTTGAATGTGGACCAATATTCCACAACTTGCCAATGTAAGCTGTTTGTATAAGAGAAATGACAAGAAAATAAATTGGCTGAAAATTCAAGGTTTTGTGATATGCGTCCTGGGTTACTACATGCCTATTTCTCAATATTTCTTTAATTCACTTTTAAATCAGAAACAAAGATGAGTCAAAAATTAAACAAGTTCAACAGGTTTTCAGAGTGGGCGAATATAAAGTAATTATACTTCAGCTCAAATGTGTATTGTGACTAAAGCCTCATTTAAAAAGAAATCATGTGGTGACTCTTTGAAAAAATAGCAAAACAAAATCCCAGTAATCTTTAAAATGAAAGGGGGGAAAAGAAAGAAAAGGAATATTCAATTCGGTAACATATAATCTGGAAAACAATCCTGAGACATCTTGCCATTATTGTGGAGGAAAAAATAACTTTTACTAGTAAAGTTTTAAAATAATGTAGTTTTCCCTCTTAATATCCCTTACCCTGTTAATAAAATGTAAAATTAATCTTTGGGAAGATCATACCCTTAAACTTTCTAATATCATATTAGAAGACTTTTTCAAAACCTTTTGCAGTGAGTGAAACTTCAAAAGTCTCTTTTCTGAATTTCATTTCAGTGAACATAAATAACCCAAACTTTATGAAGCCATTTCACTTTTTGTTGTTTCTACTCTAATGTTGCGTAAATGTGTTTTGTTATTGCTACACAGCAGCTTCAACATTGCTTGCGAGCCTGATAAAAATGTTTTATTACTCAGGCTTCTCTAGATTTTTCTTTTAGCAATGTCTGGAGTGTCACCGCTGTTCCTGAATCTCAACAATTACTTGCAACAAACATTAAAAAAACACGAGAAACTGCCAGTGCTCTCATACATCACTATCAGGATCAGTCTCACTCCTTGGTTGCCCAAAGTTTCGAGTGATGCTTTCTGACATAGAACGAATGTTTGCTAAATTAATGTCTGCATCTGTCGTCACGGCAGCAAAATAGTCTATGCGATCCAAGTCAGGCACACCATCAGTAACATTTACATCATCATCTGTGCGATAGCAATTATCATATTCAGAATCGTACAATGCACTCAAAGAGTCCAGGCTCATCATGGCATCAGAGTCAAAAATACGAGATGATGCACGTGATGACATGCTTGTGTTGTCATCCATATCACCGTCATGACCAGGGTCATTGAACACTGAATTTACATCACTCAGTGCACCTGCAAAAAAACATCATAATTAATTATCAAAGTCAAGGAAACCAACTTTTCACAATGGTGTAATCTTTGATACTAAATTTATTTCCCAATCCATTTCAGAAGAAATTTAACAAAATATTATTTATCAATATTAAATGCCCTATATTCCTTACCTTCTGCATCTGTAAGGCCTGTTTCATTGATCATTGAAATGTTCTCCAAAGCAGGATCATCTGTTGTATAGCCAGTGGATTCCCGGTCAGCCAAAAGGGGCTCCGAAGCTGCTCCCTCTTCGTCTTCCTCCTCTGACTGGCTCCACTCGGACTGACTTGTTTCTCCCATAGCTGCTTCTTGCTGCCGAGCTGTCTGCTCTAAAATTCGTTTCACTTCTGCTTCCTACAGCAAGCAAAGCAAGAATTTTTTTACCTCAACAGATGTCAATATGTTTATTTCTATATAACTGATAACTCTTATATTAGAACTATTCAATAAAATCAAAATTCACAATGGGATAAATCTCTCATTTGCAAAAAAATACAGTACTTTGCATAAAATATTTCTGCAAATATCTTCAGGAAGTATAGTACTTTCTACAGAACAAATTATGCTTTGTACAAAGGTAGCATGGGTTTGTATACCAACACAAAGCTACAAAAGATATGCAGATTCAAATGAAGGCTAATACAAGATATATAATAACATTTTCTAATGCTACATGACAAATTAATCAAAATAGCATAAAAATAAAATAAACTGTCACAATATTTTGGGAATTGCTACGCACTGAACACCAGTACACAGTACTTTATTGATGTTCTAGGTATCATGCATTGCTATTCAAATAGCATGTCTCAGAGCCCATAAAACTCAATATACAAATGTTTATTGCTAATTCATTTCTAGGAGTCATGACCTTAATGAATTGTAACAGTATTACAAAAAATTAATTAAAATTTTATGATAAAGTTCTTTCAAATTAATAACTAGGCCTAAAACTAGAAGAGCAGAAATTCATTTTGTGATACAAAGTTTTGATGGAAATTAAAATAATTATTTTTGAAATTGAGCAAACAATTATTGTAAACTCAATAGATGTTTCTTCATCTAGACACCATATTATTTGTTGGATTACTTGTCTAATAAGCAATATCAAGAATGAAATTTACTTATGTTTATGAAAGCAATTTGCGATATATTACATTATCATTATCAATAGAATAACAAACCAAAAACTTTGAGATAAAAATAATTCTTATATTTAAGAATATGTACTTGGTAAATTCTCTACATTGATCAAATCTATATAATCATCACAAAGAATATGTAATAGTATTTCAAAAATACCAATGTATCAATATACAAGCATTAAGGCATCGGCGAGTTTGTGGTGCCAACTGTTGTCAAATTTGTAGACTAACTGCTCTGATTTTTGGTTTCTGTGGTTTCCCTCATCACTTGCAGGCAAATGATACGGTAACATCCTAGAATATGGGCCATGGACTGCATTCCTCTCTTCCCTAACCTGTCTTCATTCCCCATCCTTAGGGGCCAAGTGATGTGGCTTCCCCCTCCCCCCATCCAAAAAAAGATGTCTGGAGACAGACTAAAGCAAAACTGCAAGTGCTGTTGAACCATAAAAAAAATAAGAAGAAGCAGAAGAATTATTTTAACAATAAATAAATGATAAAGTATTCACTTTTTAATTTAATTATTTATCCATAAAACAAGAAAGTAACCATCTATCATCACAAAAAGAAATATTACACGAGTATGGATAAAGAGTCCACAACCAATCAGATATCAATGAAGTGCACATCTACAAATCACAATCATACCAATGAATCAAACCTCTATTAGTATTTCAGTATACCTTTGATAGCAAGTTAAACAAGAACCGAAGTAAAACATTTCAAAGCATTGATAATATTCTTCTTCTTATAAACTACAGCAAAAATGTTGTCAGCTGCTTTTTGAAAACTTCCTAATTTTGATTTACACTATAAATTCAAGGAGACCAATCTTGTAAGATACATTTGAAAGGAATGTTGAACTTATTCTTACAGAAGGGAATTGCAAATTATGCTAACAGATAGAATTAACATAGCTTAAGCATAATGGACAGACCTTGGCAATTCAAAACTCTTTAAAATAGCATTTTAAATGTAAAATGTTTTTATTCATGCAGAAACTATCAGAAAATGTAATTGTGCATTAAACATATTCATAACAAAAAATCTAACACATAACATGACACAAACAGTGCATATCTTATAACTGAAGAAACATTAATGTAACTGTCTTACCAATTCTTCATCTACAGGCTGCATGAACAAAAATCAATTCAAAGGAATTTGAAGACTATTTTTTACTCCATACTTTACACTACAATTGTGGTAATAGAAAAGTATTACAATTACCTGCTGTTCTACTTCTTCAGCAATGCGTTGTTCCTCACGTTCAAAACTCTCAACATCACTATTATCCTTCTTATCTTCTGCTTCATTGTCTAAGTTGCTCTCCAGGTCATCAAATTTATTTGATTCTTTCTCCACACTTCTGAAAGATTGTAAAAATGCAGAATAATTTAATTGAAAATGTGACAAGTACATATCTGTTCAGTTAATAAATACCAGGGTATTTAATATTTCATGACTATCTTAATTATTTTTTGAAAATTAACACATGTTGCATTCAGAGGAAAGAGATTCAGTTACTGAAATGAAAAATGACATATATATTTAGATTAAGAATTTTAAGAAAATAAGGTTAAATCAAGCATTAACTTAGAAAATTGTTACATATTATAAGGAATTAATTTGTTTTAAGCATTATCTGAAAGTCTTCTTCAAGATAATAGAAGTAAAAGAAGTATTTTCATGAAAGATATGTACAGAATTTTAAACACTAAAAACAAAATATTAAACAGTAATACAAGGTACATGAATGTGGAACAACTGAGGAAAGAATAAATAAAACTTATAACAAGGAAAAAGATATCCCATTAAAGAAAAAATTATTTGTACAATGAACAAAATACAATTAAGAAATTATGACAAAAACAGTTCAGGGAAAATAAGCAGCATACTGTTAACAAAAGAAAGAGAACACACGTTAAATGAAAAGTAAACAAGAAAAGAATAAAGCTGAAGAAGGAAAGAAACAACAAAAGAAAACTTGCTTTGATGAAGTCAGGAGCAAAAGAAGTTGGAGGGGATAGAAAGGAAGAGAGTGAAAGAAAGAAAAAGAGACTTAGAGGAGAGAAGAGAATAAAAGAAATGCATCAGTAAAAGACCATGAAGAAACTACATAATGAGGAAACAAAAAACCCACATACAGAAAAGAAAGAAAAATGGATCTCAAAATTTTGAAGCCATTAAACGTACAACACATTTTTCATGACATGAAGTAAAAACATATATACATACACTCACACAGACACTGACATTTGCAGGCAACAGGTTGTTGAATTAAAGAGCATGAAAACATGCATATTTGAGAAACAAACAGTACCAACCTTTTAAATGGAAATACCAAACCCACATACATTACAGGTTTTTTGTTTGTTTGTTTTTTTTTACTCAATTTTTCACCTTTCCTCAACAAACATATATAATTTTGAAAGATTAACATTTATCAGAAAGATTTGCAGGGCAGCACTTTGTCGAATGTTCCACATAATTCACTAGTTCCTTATCATCTGTGGGATGGAACTCAGGAAATGTAAAATAAAATATCATGACTACTTTTGAGCATCTGTGTACCTTTTCATAAAAGTCGGCCACACAAACTAACACACCCAGCACTTGCACCTGAAGCCTACTCAAGGGGGCGCGAATGGACAGATGGGCAAGCAGCAAGAGAAGTCCAGCCAGAGACCAGCAGCAAGCCAAGGGGCCGGGGCTAGGGCAGGACTATCAGAGCTCAAGAGCTCGGATGTCCTGCACCTTTAGGAAAACAGCTGAAGCCAATGCAACATGCTAGATCAAAAGGGGTACTAGAACTTACCACCTTATAGAAAATTAAATAGTTAGTATGACAAGCCCTCTGTTAATGATCTCTATGGCATATTCCATGCATACCAGTATTTCTACATTTATATGCCTGGAGTTGTGACAAACAGCAGGTCAAAACAGCCACAAGAGAGAAAACTGAGAATCATGCCCAGTAAGTTTTTTTCTCTTATTCCATGGAAGTTTTGAAAACAAAGCAAAAAAAATAATAATAATAATAGTTTTTAATTTTCCAATCTTAACCGTAATATGTTCCATTGTTCACAGCTTGAGAAACTGCAAGTGAATTAACGAATGCAATTCACAAATTTCATGTTTTGCAACTTCCCAAATTTATCATTTCATATTTTGATTTTCAATTTTGTATGCTGTGCATGAAAATTATTGTCATATTTATTGAAGAGATTGCCTGTATATTTATTCTACACAAAATAAAATATTACTATTTTATTTTCAGAAAATAACTATATAAATTTATTTAATTTTAAAAAGTTACAACTAATAATAATGTGATCTAAATTTCAATTTTGTCCAGAGAATCATAGAAGGCTTCTGAAGCTAATGGTTTGTAATCACTTCACAAACTAGCCCAGAGAAAGAAATGCAGGGTTCCTAGATTTCTATCAACATTCACTGTTGAAATCAAATAATCTCAGCTCAACAAAGGAAACAATCAGATATATAATTTCATATTGTTACATTGGAAATATCTGTTTTTGAGAATTGCTTCACTGTCCAGTTAATGAAAATTCTTAACAAAAATTATGAATAGAAATACAAATGTGTATATTACACACTATAACATAAATTAAGTTCAATACAACTTAAAGGTAAAAACTACGATGGCCAGCTATGATTAGCAGCATAGAGTATTTAAGTACACTTTTACCATATATAAAAAAAAATTATTACTTTGGGTGAATGATGATAGAGTGTTACCTTTCCCTAAATTTGGATATGTTCTTGCCAAAAAGGTTTGTTTTCATTCTACTAGTAAAATCTATGATAACAAACATTAAGATGATTGGAAAACTGAACACATGGAAATGGATGTGCCTATGAAAAAACAAATGTGCAAAATAGAAATGTGAATAAAATGAGTCAGCATTATTCTGCAAGTGCAGTACTTTGAGCAACGATAGGTCAAGGCCAGAAGGAGGCCAGTGCACACAGTTACAGGGATAAAATTTGCATTGCGAACGGGACAAGGCCACAAGGACCCGGAGGTCTCCGGCAGCCTACCTGGCGATGGGAGCTGGCTGCACCCCTTGGCCAGAGTCTGCAGGCGGCTGGCTGGACCGAACGGGAAATTTACTATTGCTCAAACCAGTAGGAGAACACTTTCTTTGCAACAGTGTTGCAATGAACTCTTCTTTTGCAGAATCCTCAGTCGGTGCCGGAGGCGAGGGCTCCCTCGCCCTTTTTAAAGACCCTTCCTTGCTGCTTCCCCTTTCATACCAAAGAACTGGAGCGGTCGGATCAATGAGACACTGCGAAGGTTGCTTGCAAGCACCAACTTGAACAGCGGAGTTATCCAACTGCGTTCGCACCAACTCTTGGATGGCGGCGAGCCCCACGTGACGACTGGCATGAGAGCTTGTGCTAGAATTATTGTTGGCATTACTAAGGGCCAGACTGGCCTGGTCCTCTACATACCTGCCCACATATTGTCGGTCCAAGTAGCTGCACTGGCCGAGTTCCGCCAGAACCTGATTCACGTTCTTCAGCTCTTCTAAAGATATTATCTCTTTGTTTTGGTGAGTCCTGTCCGACTTGGGAGGAATATTTTTAAGAAGGTTCTGGTCCTCGAGCAACTTCTGAATCTCACGCTCAAAGTTTGGCACTTTCGCAGCGGGCGCAGCCCCGCCCCCGCCACCTCCCCCGCCTCCGCGCGCCGCACGGTGTGTTGGTGGTGGTGATGGTGGTGGTAGTGCTTGGTGCCGAGGAGGGCGAGTCGAGCGCGCGGGCGGGCGGCGCGCTGGGCTGGCAGGGCCTTGCTCAGGTCCTTGCGCTCCGTCTGGCTGCAGCCGTCCCCTGCGGCACGCCGGGCGGCGCCGCCACCGCAGCAGCAGCAGCCGCGCCGCGCTGCCGCCCGCGGCGTTGGCGCGCACCGCGCGGTGGCGCGATGTACTCGAAGCTGCGCGCAGCTGTCGCCGCGGTACGAGCCCGGCAGAGGGCTGGCGGCGGCGCCGCGCGCGAGTCGAGGGTGCCGGCGGCGGCCGCCGCCAGCGCCAGCAGCGCGCCCGGCGCCAGCCCCTCCGTGTCGGTGGCGGCGTTGGCGCGCGCCGCGCTCGACGACCCCGACCCCGTGCCCGTGCCGGTCCCCGTCCCGGTCCCGGCGCCGGTGCCGGTGCCCGTGCCCGTACCGGTGCCGGTGCCTGACGTGGGCGGCGCCCCCTCCGCCCGCACGTCGCGCAGCAGCGACGGCAGGCAGTCCAGCGACGAGCGCGGAGAGTTCTCCAGCGACGACGACGGGTCCACCTAAGTACACACACTGACGTCACCAAAGTCTACAAAGAAAAGCTGTAATTAAAATTAGGATGATTGGGAAACTGATGTGTATGTGCCTAATTCTGTGATGCATTGTGGGGGGGGGGGGGCTCAAGGAGCATTAGCCTCCCCAAAACCAATGACGTATTAACCTCCCTCCGAAACTAAATACATATTTAATAATAGCAGATCGTACAAATTTTCTTTACTAGGAACGTAATACAATATGTCAAGAACTGTTTACGACATAAATATTAACGATAATCAACAAATAAAAAATATTTTAAATTCATCGTCATTGAAAAATTCTAAGGAAACATCAATTCTGCTGGACACTACGTGCGTGCGCCCCCCAAATAAATCGTGGGTGTACCTCTGACAAAATAAAGTGAATAAATTGATTCAACATCATTCCTCAAGTTCAGTACTTTCAGCAAGCATAGGTCAAGGTCAAAAGGAAGCGATGTTGATCACAGCTTCTATCGTGCTATCACATCACCTGCGGGAAGCGGATCAGCATTGATCTGTGTGACCCACTAAGGTTCTGTGAATAGACAATCGCTCTTCCAAGTATCGTCGTATCTTTGGCACCTCTTCATTCTACCCACCGATTTGACAGTCGTGCGCTTCCGCCGTACCTTAATCGGCCCGCGGGGGAAGAGAAGATTCAGACCCCCCCCCCCCAAAAAAAACCGCAGTCTGCGACATGTTTGATTATTATTTGTTAAACTAACGCTACAAACTGAGCGTCGTATCCAATAACGAAGTCATTCCCAAAGGGAGTAGGAAGGCAGAACGATGAGTATGCTGACTTTTAAGGGTTTTTTGAAAGTTTCAGACAAGCGGATTGATGGAATAGAGCTAAAGGTCTATTTACAATGCAAACATAAGCGTAAGCATGGCGTTAACATAAAAGTTTGGACTACGTCCATAGGCGTACTCATTCACAATGCGTTCGCATAAGTATAACACGTTAACTATAGAGCTTGCAAGCTTCAAGCTTCTGTGCTTATGCTTAAGTTAGACTTAAGAAATGAAACAATCACGAGTACGTTAATCAAGAATTGAAATAGGATCGAAATCTATAGACGAACTAACGCCGTATGGGCCATGGACACTCGAAATCTAGTCTCACATCCAATCAATAGTAAACTAGAATGACTCACAGCTAATAGAAAATCTTAATTTGCTAACGTTTACTTTAAGACGATGCGAATACTTGAGTCCATCACTTATGTTAATTTGTTCGTCTGAGCGTCATGCTCGTGTTTACGTTTGCACGGCGAGTGGGCCTTGCCCGTTCGAGTGGAGCACAAGGAGCCGGCGAGGGAGGGCGCAGTAACAGCGGCGAGCGTGACCTGGATGTCGGACGGGTAGAGCCAGTGGCGCGCGGAGGCGGCCAGCGCGGCGTTGGAGGCACCGGGCGGCGGCGAGGGCGACGCGTCGGCGTCCGTCGTGCGGCTGTAGCTCTCGTCGGACGAGCTGATGCTGGGCGAGTGGTTGAGCGAGCTGATCTCGTCGGCCGACGAGTGCACGCGCGCGGAGTGGTGGTGGGCGTGCGGGTGCTGCGGCACGCTGCCCAGGAAGTAGGCGGCCGCCGTCGCCGCTGCCGCCGCGCTCGTGCCCTGCCACACAAACACGCGACCGCACACTCGCCACCGCCCCCGTACTCGTCCTCGCGCGACGGAGCGCGCCGCCGCGAGGGCGCAGCGGAAGAACAGGGCTGGGCCAAAGAGTGGGGAGTGGAGAATACAGGAAAAGCGATAGGAGAAAGTTGAGTGGATGATGGGAGCCAAGTGAGGAGATGCGAAGGAAGGGGTGGGGAGGTGGGGGGTGAGGTCACGGACGGTGCAAGGGGTGAGGGTACTGAGGGAGGAAGGAGTTATGTTGAGCGCAGCGAGGCGGAGTGAGGAAGGGAAACGGGAAGAGGGGAGGAGGAGGATTGAGGAAGGGGAGGAGGGGGAATGAGGAGAGGGGAGGAGGAGGGGAGGGCGCACGAGATGAGAAGAGGGGTGGAAGGATGAGGTGAGGTGAGGTGAGTGAGGTGAAGTGACGGGTGAGGGCGGTCAGTGGAGCGGTAAGACGATGGTTAGGGGAGGAGGGAGGTAAGTTGAGGGGCGATGTGTTGGAAATGATGTGGAAGAATGGAAAGAATGTGGAAAGGTTTGGATGAAAGGAATGGAAGAAACATTACAAACATATGTTTAATTGGCGTTGAGATGGGGGTTGAAATACGGTCTTAATTGCAAAAACAATTGCAACCTGTGACGCGTCACATCTGTCAGATTGGACTAACAAATCATAAAATTTAAAATCCCTAACATCCCCTCAACCATGTCCATCAACTGGGAATTTATTGTTTAAGTACATTATTTAGCGAATTTATGGGTTAGTTAACTTTCATAATTCAGTCAATCGCACATTTTCATAAACAGAAAACATTCTTGTTCACATCGGTCCTCAAACAACCAAAGAACCTCAAAAACCGAATTCGAACGCTAGTCTGCAACCATATTTTATGAAATACACAGCTGGCTAGCGGGGTTGCCTATTCCCATTTTGTGGGTTTTGGTACAAACAAGGTTGCGATTAGAAGCGTCAGAAGAGCTTCCGACAAATGTAAGACCTTTGTTACTGAAACGAAATATTCACGGAACGACAATAAAACGGACTGCATAGACACGCGCATCTACATTACACCAGTCTCAACGATGGGCTGCTTAACCAATTAAGAACAGTAATGTCACATGTGCACAAGGAGGCGACAGGGGGTCCCTGATATCCCCTGAAAAATTTTCGAAAGAATCACACAGCTGAACATACGCAACAAGCTTTGCGAATCCAACCTTAATTCTATGTATCAATTCCTTATTTTCCGCCATTAAGCTTGGAATTTGGAAATATTTTACAACGACTTTCAGGAATAGCCCTTCCAAACCATCTGGCAACCCTGTAACCATGATTAACATAAATTAAATTATATCATTAAATATATAATGTTATTCTCATTGTTTAACTTACTTCCTAGAAAATATGTCGCGTAAAAATAAAAACGTTTGGTGGGATAGAGGGTCCAGAGGGGCCCCAAAACGGGCCCCCCCCTCTGAGTTTTAGAGCTCGCATACCTTCGCCACACATCTAACTTCGTCATAAGAAATTTCCCCATGCTTCGCTGTAAACCAAAGTGATCCTCTGACCCTCCCCCCAGAAATGTCCCAATAAGTAAATTTATTCCTAGAACCCTGCGCAGCGGGCGAGTTTGTTCCGACACACACACAGCCACCAGAGGCGTATACTCTACAGGTACGCACGTGCCCACGGAGGCGCGCAATCACAGGGCGCTATTTAGAGTTTTCTCGCATAAAAACAAATTAACAACAACTCATAATCTTGAAGTATCCTGCAGGTGCTAAGTTCTGTCCTTGGCCTCGGCGCTCACTGAATACTATAGAGAAGCAATTACTCTGCGATGGGCAATCACTTTGACCGTCCGGAAAACAATGAACGTAATGTAGGGGACTGGAATTACAACGAGACTCAGTGATGAGATCCTTAACGAATGGGACGCAGTTATTATAGCCAGCAATAGCCAAGCAGTGCTGTGGAAGGGCGTCATGCAGCAACCGCCTTCCCTGCAAAACAGCCCCTCACCTGCAAGGCTGCTCGTCGGACATAGGTAACGGCGCTGCAGCTGCCATGAGCCGGGCCGCGTGCTGGCACGCGGAGGCGCGGCGGTGCGGAAGGCGGGCAGGCGCGGGGCGCGCGGGCCTGAACGTCGCCCGCGGGCCCGCCCCGCCCCCGGGCCCCGCCCCGCCCGCCGCCCCCGCCGCCGCCCCCCGCGACAGGTCGTTTGGGTTCATGAGAAGCAGGGAGCGGCTCGGGCCACGCGGCCTGTGAAGCGTAGAGCCTCGGCGGGAGAGGGGCGGCCGCCGGGCCGGGCCCCGCGCTCCCCGGGCCCGGGCCCCTCCGCCCGGCGCTCCCCGTGGGCGCCCGCGGCCACGGCGGCGTGTAGCGGCTGTGCGGAGGCGGCGGCGGGGGAGGCGGCAGGCTGCGGCCGCCGCGCGCCTGTGGAACACACACGCACACATACACGTGCTGCCGAGGCTGAAGCAGACACCGCTTCGCGTTCGCTTTGCAATTCGCATGACCATTTAAATAAAATTCGCATCGAGTGATGTAGACAGCCGGAATAACTGTATCCAGCAATGCGGTTAGCCGAAAAAAAAATCCACATCAAGTGATGCGCATAACCGAAAAAATAAATCACAACAAACGATATGGATATCCAAAAAAATCTACATCACGACACGAATAGCCGAAAAAATCCCATCAAGCGACGTGGATAGCCGAATAAATCCACATCGAGAGATGTGGATAACCAAAAAAATTCCACAAAGAGATGCGAATAACCAAAAAATTCCACAAAGAGATGCGAATAACCGAAAAAAATCACATCAAACGATATGGATAGCCAAAAAATTCACATCAAACGATGTGGGTAGCTAAAATAATTCACATCAAGTGTTGAGGATAGCCTAAAAATTAGTAGTGAGCTATACGAGTTGGAAAAAGTCACACATTGGGTGATGTGAATAGCCAAAACGAAACCTCACTGAGCAATGCACACAGCCAAAAAATGCATATTTTTATAATTATATCTGTTTGAAATGATTTGAAACTGAACTCAAAATCAAAAGACAAAAAAAAGTTATTACTAATAGGGAATTTGGTATTACTTAAATTTCTCTTAACAATGATGTCGGATTAAGAATAGCATTTTATTATGTCATGTTTCCCCATACACAAACCTGTTTTTTGACCCCCTCCCCCGAATTGAATAATTCCCCTTTTAAATACATACGAATAATATAAATGTAAATTAGAGGTCATTGAAGCAATTGGCTTATTATGGGGATAATTTTGAGAATTCAATAAATCATCATTACATTTGTCACATATTCCCATTTGTGGGGGGCGATCTTCATGTTGAGCTTTGTCCACCTTTGTAAGTGTAGAATGTTGGCGTATCAACAGAGTACTCTCTTTGGTCTTAACCATGCTCGCATGAACAAAGCTGAACTGACATGTCTTATTACAAGGCTCTAAATGCATATTTAACCTGTCTTACTGTACTTACGCACACAAAAGTCTCTCCAGCGTTAAGTTGCTTACATTGTGGTTGATGAAGCCCACACTAAGATTCTATAACCAATTTGTTGCCAATTGCCTATTTCCATAAATTTAAAATTTTAAAAATATTTTGTATGAATACAGAACAGACTATCTGGGCCCTGTATTTGTATGCCATAAATTACATCAAATCTGCAAGGTAATTTTGCACATACTGAGAGCAAAATTCGACTTTACAAGCATTAGATGTATCAGTTGCCAATTGTGTTTGTTCTCTAAGCAGTTATCTCAGTAAGTGATTCAGGTAGTCATCGCTGAAAAACGATTATGCTGCACATGATAGTGGTTACTCCAGCAAAATTATCAACGCCAATGAGTAGTGGGAATAAAGCTAGAAATCCACAACGCAAAATGATGAGAAAAGAAAGGGAGTTTGGAGAGGAGAGTAAATAACCATCGTACAAGAGGGAAGGTGGATAATTATCACAACTTTACTCTATTTAAAGTTCTATGAATTATATTCAGGTATAGTAAACTTGGGGGCAAAATGGCATTTAGTAAATACATTTTTGAAAATCAGCTCACGTAACTTCAAGGAAATGAGAAGCTGTTAACAGTAATGCACAATGGAATAATGAATATTTGAAATGAAAAATGATCATAAGAACAAGTTTCATGAATGCAATAAAAATTGTATATACTTAATGAAATCTTGAAGAACAATCAGTTCCAGGGCAGAACTTTAATGTTTTCTAAAGATAATATTATTCTAGGTTTGTAAAAACAGTTACGCACATCCTAAACACGAATTAACTCAAAATAGTCACCCCCTTCCCCACAAAGTATCATGACCACTGTGAGCGTGCAAAGGACTAGAATATTAAAATTAGGATGGAAGAGAAAGAAGTGTAAATTACAATTTAATGATTACACAACTGCATGAAAGGGTGATCTGAATGGCAGTGCACAGGAGTTTTTCACACAAAACTTTCTTTAAAATGCCAGCATCTATTCAAAGGAAAATGAAAAATATTGAAGATGATTCTGCACTTTTCCTGATCCAAGAGTTCTCTGAAAGAATTTTAGGAAAGAAGCACATAGTAGCACACACAGGGTTGAAACAAGAAGTCTTGGTCTTGGTCTAGGTTTACAGACTACAAGTGATAAAAAGATAAAACACCATGCCCAGAGACGTAGGAACCTACAGGGCAGCAGAAATACACACATCCCTTCTTTGAAGTCCCTCACCCATCTAAAGAGAAAAGCAAGTTAATGAAGAGGGCACAGAAGCAGCCAGAATACCATCAGGACTCTTGGCAACCTGAGGAATAAGGTAGGTACACCAAGAACAATTAAATCAGAAGTTAATGTTGATACTAAGTAATGACGACACACAAAAACGAGCAAATGGAGAAGGATGCATTCAAATTCTCAAATAATAGGCATGTGGATGATAAAAATGTTAATAAGGAAGGTTAAGAAAATGGAATGATTAAATAGAAGAGGCTGTTAAAAAGCAAAATACTTACCTCTGCTGGCTTCAACATTGGTCGTCCGATAATTCAGAATCCTATAAAAGAAACCGGAACATAGCACAGACTTACTAGAAATGTCCAGAGGGGAAGTTGGAAAAGCTACATGATGCTCATGGCTTGCAAGATTTTGCCTGGAAACTCATGAGGCAATTTAATTCCTCGTAATTGGCATCCTTCATCAATGAATAAGCAACGATGCATTTTATTATAAACAATGTGGACCCACAAGAGATGAATACAATATATTCTGTTATTTTTTTTATCACTAAAGATAGATGACTTGCAACCAATCTTTGAAAGGGAACAAAATGTGCCTAAAGACTTGAAATAAGAAAGTCAACTACTCTTTTTTCTCTCTTCTTAAAAAAATTGTTCCTGAAAGTACTCCATAAAAGACTGAGAAAAAGCACCAACATTATATATTTTGCCCAAAATTTTAAGTTGCTAGTTTTTAGCTAGCTTTTAAGTGCAAAAATCATATGACCATGTAAAAATTATATAACTCAATAGCTGCTTTAGCAATTATTTATTCAATTCATGGCTGCTAAAAAATTGAAACATGAAAGATGACGTTGTGGAAAAAGGACTTCCAGTACTCTAAGATGGTCTACAGTTTAATGACATTCATCCAAAGAATAGTAAAGGAAATACAAGAAAATTACCAATCTTAATCTGAAGACATTTACAATCTGGAGTCTATTTTGAAAAGAAAAAAGGTAAACTTGAAAATTCAGCTATTATGCTTCGACAAAATTGGTGAAGAATATATTAAAACTTACACACACACACACACACACACACACACACTAAGAGAACTGCATTAGAAGACCTTTATTTTCCAACAAACATTACACTGTTGGTTCAACGTTGAACAAAAAAGAAAAAAACAACCTCAAAACCAGTAAGTGAAGACTGTTTACAATAGTTCAAAATTCTCATAAGCATTAGAGTTCATTAGAGTTCAAATTTCCTTAAAAATCTAAAAGCATGAAAAACTCTTAGGCTCAGAAATAACAAAATGATTTGCAAAAACAAGTAACGTACATTAGGCAGTGGAAAGATATTCTCTGATACACATAGATCAAGCCATACTTAAAAAGAGGGCATTGAAAGACGAAATCAAGCAGTCAAGCAAGATTAGTTCCAAGTATCAATGCATAAGAGGATTAAGGAAGAAAAGGAAATGCACACAGACGCCAACTCTATGGAGTTGTGCCCCCCCCCCTCCCATCTTCACCCAAACAATATTTGGAACGGACTGGGCCCTACTAAAACTGGACAGTAATAATTAAATAAAACAACACTGTAAATGAAACATTTGGAAAACAGTGGGAGATTTTGTAGTAAATTAGGTAGTTTAGGATAATATACCAAATGCCTGGAAGTTATATTGACAAAAAACATCTCAAATATGAAGAATTTCATGAAGTATGGTTGATCAAGTTTTCCTGAGGAAAAAAGGATTCAAGAAAATACCGCATCCAGGCACTCCATTCAAATCGAATGCCACATCACAGCAAATACTGCAATGGCATTTCATATTGCTTCATATCTTTGTGCGTTTGGTGGAACTGCCAATTAATTGTCTGGGAGGAAAACTTGCCACATACTAAAATAGCAAATCACACACTAAACTACTTTAATAGTGTCAAGTGTTTGAAGAGTACTGTTCATTCAATCTATTAAATCTACTGAAAATCCAGTTTTGTTCTAGATGATAACTACATTATAAAGTAGTGTAAATATAAATGCTGATCACAATCTATGACTTAGGAAATATATGTAACACAACTTCTAAAATGCTCAAATTGTTTCTTCTAACCAACCTTCATTGTGATGGTGTCTTTATAAACAGAATGAAAAGTACACTTAAAACCCTTCATAATACTAATATACTCTACTTTTCCTTGTGCAAGCCCTGTTATGCTCACAGACAATTAATTGAGTTTGCTGAAAGCATGAAGAAATGAGACGTCCAGCACTATTGCAGACACTGCAGTGTCCGTGGAGGCACAGCAGCCAATTTGAATTGCTGACTCAGAAGAAATACTTGAACCCAATTTTTTTGAAATACTTTTTTTTCTTCTTCTTCTGACAAACTAAATAAACCATTCTTCATTAACTTAATTACATAATCTGAGGGTTTTTTTCACAGTTACTTCTGAAGGGATATAAGAGGTCTCAATCAGGGGAGGAGGCAGGAGACTGAGTGAAAAATCAAGGAAAATGTGTGCAGAGCACATCTTTTTAACTCATTGCACCATAGATTGGGCTGCTTGCCACTTTTAAATCTTCAAGATTTTTTGCATAGAGTATAAATGGTCTACCAAAGATACTTGGGTTTTTTTCTGCCACAGGAAAATGGTGGTTAAAACCAAATATTAGAAGTACTCACAGGTAAGTGAGTAAGAGTGCATATCGAGTTCAAGAGCGAAGCACTGGAAATATCCATATGGATTCTTTTTAATTGTATTGGTTTTTTGATCTTTATAAACAGACACTGAAATATTTTTTATTAACAATTCATTTCTTGATGTTTTGACTGTATTTGAGGTCTTTCTCAAAATTCTAAAAAATAATAAAAGTTGTAACATTGGAGATGGAGATTATATCCACAAAAATGTAAAACATTATATATAATAAAATAATGCATTAAAATATATTGAACCATCATAATAATACAAACTGTGACATACATATTGTTTAGGTTTGTTGAAAATACATCATAAACAATCATTAGCATTTTAATTCAAACTTGTCAATGTTATAAAAAGGAAAGTGAACATTAAAAAAATATTTAAAATAATTTTCAAAACATACTGTGTGTATATTAAGGTCAGAAAACCAATACAATTAACTAAACAAGTTAACAGACGTGAACATATTCTTTAAAATGGATACTTCTTAATTAAAAGGCAAAAAATATCAATTGGAAGAGGGAAAAGACACATTAAGAATATCAATAGGAAGCAAAGTCACTGCTTTTCAAATTGAAAACCAAACCCTATGAAATAAGATAGAATCAGGGCCCTCATCCCCCAACATCCCCCAAGTTGGCACCTCTGGAAATGCATCAGGGAAGAGGAAAATAAATTTAAGTGAAGATAGCAGGTACACAATATTTCACAATTTCCTCCATGGTCAGTGACAAAAATTCTTAATTTAGGATCCTATCCAATCATAACAAAGACAAAAATTCTCAAGTCATATTTTCAATAGTTGTCCGATGTTTCAGAATGTTAAAATATAGAACTTCCAAATATTTTGGAAAATAAGCTAATAAATTGGTACACTCACTTGTCAATTAAAACCAATCATCACATAAATTAGGATATGTCCCAAATCATTAATATTCATATAGAAATATCTGCACCAATTAAATAGCCAAATTGACTTGTTCAAGTCCCAATTTAACTTTGACTACAACAGCTACAAGTAGATACATCACAAACCATTAATCAGCAATAACTAAATGAATCCTCAATTATGTGTTGGAAGAGTGATATTTGTATTAAACATGGTCTCCAAGTAAGGAACAGTAGCAATAATGAAATGAGAAGAAGATACTATGTTCAGTGATAAAGAAGACGGTGCTCTTTAGTATAGCTGATAAAAAGTTTTCATTAGTAGTAAAGATTAAAATAACTATACCAGTTGTGACTGAATATTAAGTCATCTGTTCACATCAATGAAAGAAATGCATTAAAAACTGCTTTCATGACACTTGAGGATGACACTAGTAACAGGAGAATCTAGTCATGTGTTGCAAACTGTTGTCGCATTCTTGAAGTGTTGTATCATGAAAATAAGCAGAGATGTCAACAAAATTTGTAAAGATAGTAACATCAAATTTGGAATTTAAATGTTTATGATAAGTAGATAAGAATTTTGTTATGCTTCAAATTGCTTTCTGATTGCAAATACCAGAAAATGCCACTAATAATTAACTAATTAAGTTTTGAAAGAAATCCTGAAATTAGTGGGGCATTAGGCCAGTCTTGAAGCCATGTTTGTCAACAAGTTGGCACTTAATAATACTGAAGAATGAACACATAAGTAATTTGCATGTTCATTCTTTTCAATATAGGACTAGATTATTTATTGGAAGCTCACTTATTAATGGATAATTACTTAAATTGCTAGTTCATTATAATTTTTTTAACTCTTGAAATAGTGTTCTGCATGAAATAGCTTTTGACTGAAGGAAATCCAAACAAGATGAATGAATGGATAATGAACATTTAAGTAGTGTACAAGAATTAGTTTCAACTATGCATCCTTCACATTGTAAAACAAATTTTAACACACAACGAAGTTCAATCCAATTTCCTTTTTTGTTACTTTTTCGTTACCTGCTGTGAAGTTAAATTTTTGAAATTATAATGCTCTAGCCCCTGCTGTCCTCTAATAATTATAAATTTTTATGAATCATGAATTTTCTGAAGGAGTAAAATACTACCTACTCTAAACATATATTTTTTTATGTCAAATTCAGAAAGGGTCTTTTTCTCCTACAATTTCTATTCTTTTTATTGTCTTCAATTACATTCCCCTGACTAATGCACAATGAAAGATTTGATCATCTTAAAACTTGCCTCCTAAAATTAAAAATGTGTTTCTAGAGGACTAACTAATAGGCAGCATTTATTGGGGATTTTGTCAGGTCTGCAATAAAAAGAAACGTTTCTTTGCAATATAAACGTGTACCCAACTGTATTTTTATGTATGTTATGTTCTTTCATAAAACATTTTAAAGAAAAATGATCTTAGTAATTTAATTAAATGAAAAAGTGATTATCAGAAATAAATTGGAATATGTATTAAGTATTATTTTGTTACAATGAAAATATTTCAAATAAGGAATAAGAATATTTCCCTTTGAAGAGCAGAGTAGGGAAATTTTAACAAACTCCACAAATTGATTTTTATTCTTCAGCAACATTTAATATTATTTTCAAATACAGCATAATAAAATGCTTAATTTATTTGTAGGACTGTCAGTATATTTCGAAATTAGATTCCGTATTATTGAGTTGTAGTAGTTTTCTTAATATCAATGTACTATTGTTAAAAATAAATTGAAATAAAACAGATTGAAGAATTTTATTTCAAGACTCAGAGTGGATCTAATATTCCATAGCTGTACAGAATAACAATGTTAACAATAAAAACATGGAACGAATCCAACTTTACAATGAAATTTTATGTGTGATATGGTATTTATTTGCTGCTTTTAAAACTGTTCAGAAACATGAGAAATACCAGTTCTTCTTGGCTGTTCTTGATAAAATTTTCTATCATATTTCAAATTACTAGCCGGTCTGCAATTATTAAACAAAACTGAAGATTTGTATTTAAATACATATGAAAGTAATTTCAGTCATTCACAGAAAATGGCAAATGACATGATAACATACCTCTTTTACAGCACTTCTGAAACATTCAACTTTATACTTACAAAATGAAATAAGAATGATATAATGCTACCATTTACCTTCCAAATAGCCATTCAAGTAGATGAATCCCCATATAAATAATTTACTTTCTTTGAATGACATTCATCATACTACAAAAGTCTTTTTAATCTCAAAACAATAAAAGAATAGAATAGAAAAGAAAGAATAAAATAAAGAACCATTTTTTAACTATTTGCTGGTTATTTCTTGCACTAATGCGCTATCTAGCATTAAAATGTTTAGTACTTTAATTTGTCATTTAGAATAGAAATTTATTGTAACGCATTGATTATATTTAAATGTTAACATTAAATACACAAAATGGGAGTTTTTTCCATTCATTTTGATTTCAGTTTGTTTACTTTCATTTTTTAAAGACAAACAAGACCATGATTTATACTGAAAGTGTTGGCATAGGTTCTAGAAGTAGTGCAAAATTAAAATTGGTAGAGAATTTAATTGTTCTCTGAGGGCCTATTTTTAATTTCAGTTGTTCTGTAACTAGAATGATAATTGACGGAAGGAAATCCACTAATAAATTAAGTGCTTGATAATGTTATTTCTGTACAAAACCTGAAATGAAATAGAATGTACAAAGAATATTCAGGTAACTCATGTTTGCCCTGATACTCAGAATATCCTATAAATTCTGAATTCACAAAAAAACAAAACAGAAATTATTAATCCTTTGACTGCTGTACAAACTGACACACATTGATCAGAGACTTTTCTCCAGAACTGTGTCTGAGTACACGTGTTGCCCCACAAGTTCCTGGGAAACAGAAGGTGTCTGTTTTAAAGCATGTAATATTTTGGTTCCAAAATGTCATTCTCATTTCCCAGAACAATCCATAAATCTGACTTTATGTATCAATATTATTGGGGTTTGCTAGTGTGATTTCTAATTGTATTCCAGTAAGTTTGTGCCATCACTTGCACATTTCCAACTGTCTAGCAAGCTCAAGCAGAGTTGAGAACTTCTAGGTTGCTGTGTATGTTGACTAAGGTCTTCATTCCTTGTTTGCAGTTTTAGAGCTTTTGACTAAAGAAGATTTTACATAGTTATTACCTTTTAAATTGTCTAGGTCCATCAACATCATCAGCACCCCCAAAACTCTTAAGCATTAAATGGCTGACTCCCTCACTAAGCATGAGAATAACACCAGAACAAGAAGTCTCCAGCAGTTGAAGGATTAAATCACTTATTAAAATAAAAAAATCTCATTTGATAAAATATTCATTGATTCAATTCTGACTGCAGAAGTCAACTCAACAACATTGCGCCGTAAGAAGGCAAATAATTGAAAGACCAGTGTGAAAGAAACCAGCATTGGGTATCCTTTCATTTACTTCTAAGTCCTGATTGCGACGACAGTAAAGGTCCCTGCACACGAGCTTTGTGTTGACGCGCGGTAAGTAACGCGCGTAGTAGAGAAACGCCATCTTACGCGAACAGCACACGAGCACTTAGGGCGATCCGCACAAGATACAGTGTTAATCCACGATGCGCTTTACTTCTCGCGCGCCAACGCAACGCTCGTATGACAGTACTGAAGGTGGCGAGACCGTCACACCGTGGTGCCCCACGGGAGGCGGCGCCACGGCCGGAGACAGCGAGCGCACATTACGTACCTGCTGCAGAGGCACGATCTTGAGGCCGGGCATCGCCCCTCCGGGCAGCAGGGGCTCGCACTCGCCGTGGCGGCCCGCGCCGCCCGGCGCGGTCCGGCCCGCAGCCGCCACGCCGCCTGCCGCGCCGCCAACGCCGCGCCCCCGGCCGCCGCACACTCCCGCAGCGGGCGGCAGCGGGGGCGCGCTGCGCGATCCGCCGCCCGTGCCCAGGCCCATGCCCATGCCGCCGCCCCGCGCGCCGCCTCCGCGACCCCGACGAGCGCGGCGGGCGCTGCGGGAGGCCGGCCGCCGCCCCCGCCAGCCCCCAGCCCAGGCCCCCGCCGCGCTCGGCCAGCCGAGTGCAGCAGCGCCAGCGGCGTCGCCACGCCCCGTACATGCACCTGCGCACAACCGCCGCGGTAAAAACAACGACAAATGGCATCCATAATACAGATCCACATACTAAATATAATAATAATAATAATATAATTAATAATAATAATAATAATAATAATAAATACATAATAATAATAATAATATAATAATAAATAATAACTAATAATAAACTATAATAATAATAAATTAAATAATAATAATAATAATAAAAGACTAAATAATATAATAATAATAATAATAATAATAATAATATATATCACATCAAATACTAATAATCACAATTATATATAATAATCAATATAATAGTCCTTAGCCAATAAAGACTGTGTTTAATATATAGCAATTACAATTATTGCACAGAAGTAAGTCAAAAAACAAACAAACGTGAAATCTTAATTTTTAACATGTCTGTAAGCCCTTCTTGGCAATTGAGTGCCGGGACAAATCATCTTTTAAGTTTATGTCTTTTTGTCTCATCGTGTCGGTCAGTCAGTTAATAGCTCTTATTCTTTAGGAATCCATGGTGTCTCCAATTGCTTAACTTCCTTGATTACATAGAGTGTACTTAAGCAATTTGGCTAATGACACCAGTTTTTCTTCTTCTTCTTCCTCCTCTGAAGCCTCTCAGCATCAGGTTAGCCACTTGACATGCTCCTTTTTGTCTTGTGCCCTGTGCTTCACCTCTCCTAGTGTAGCTCCGCTCCTTTGGCCTATTTCCTGTTTATAAGCTTCCCATGTTCCTCTTGGTCCCCCAGGTGGTCTCTTTCCCTCTGGCCTGGCTTCGATCATTTGTTTTGGCTTTCTCTCCTCTGCCATTCTATTATCATGCCCATGTCCATCATGCACTTCAGAGCCTTGTCTTCCATTTCCTTCATTAGCGGTGTAACTGTTAGCTCTTCTCTAATTGTGTTATTTTTTATCCCATCTCTTCTTTTTTCCCTACTATCGTGTGTAGGAATTTCATTTCCACTGCTGCTCATGTGATACTAATCTATATTTATGTAACGTTTCTTGAACTTTAACTTAAATTATGTCTTCAATATGAAGTCCAAATATTTTTTTTTAAATTTAATATAATCATTGACACTACTATTCTTCAGCAAAAATATACCGTTTCTTCTCCACATGGCTCTAGACCTTTCATTATGTGGTGATGAAGTTCATGTGCAAGATTAAATTGAAAGAAAGAACTGAATTTTGAGTTTAAATTAACTGGGATGAAGTAGAGAAAATTATCTTAGGAAAAACATTTTATTTTTCAATCATTTCTCTAAAGTCACTTCTGTGCAACATATCCAACATATCTAACCACAATGTCAATCCTTTGAAAAGGTTCTTTCTTAAGAACTTTGAAAAAAGTACACCATCATACTCACCAAGAGAGCCTGCAGATCTCATGTTGGGCAAATCATCTACACGGATAGTCCCAGGTTGCTTGCGATCTGTGAGAAAGTAAGTTGTCATATCGCCTTTACCCTTTACCTTCACCTTACCACGGCACTGGAACTCGTAAGGGTAACCACGCAATACCTGGTACACTTCCTCTGTCACCTGTGATAAAAAAAAACATTTTTATGAGTTTCAGAAGTGCCTGTCAAATAAGTACCATTATTAATTTGTGAACATTCATTACTTGAGTATGATTTGGAAGTCCTGTTGAGTCCATTCGACTCGCTACATTAACAGTATTACCCCAGATGTCATACTGGGGTTTTCTAGCACCTATTACACCTGCTACTACAGGTCCAATATTTATACCTAAAATAATGAATTTTGGTTAATGGTTTTGGATTTTGTCTGAAAATTTTTGACAAACAGGTTTCTCTACTTCAGAAACTATGAGGGAATGAATTCAATGAGAAAATAATATTACTAAAACAGTGTTCTTCAATTTTATGATACACACCTACACGTAACATGAAGTTATTGTAAGAATTTTCATTTATATTGAGCAGTTTCTCTCTCATTGCAAACACAAATTCAACAAGTGTGCTGAGATGTAAACCAGCTGTTGTCTCGTCATCATCCAAAATTCGAAGTTCAGGCATCAACCCAACAGCTGCCATGTATGTGGAACCTACAGTCTTGATTTTATCAACAGCTCTGAAGCGCTCTTCACCCAAAAGCTACACATATTCATAAATTTATATTATATTACACGTTGGAAGAATGACAGTAAAGATAGGACACATTGTAACACACACACAAAAAAAAGGGTAAATTGGAGACTATTCTACATTAATATTAAGTATTCAATAGAGCTTCAGAACAATATTAATATCAACATTTTTTCAACAGAATGAAACTTCAAGAACATATTTCCAAAAATACAATGTAATGATGTTCTCACAACATCAAAATTTAGGAACCAAGTTTTTCTCCCAAACTGAATGAAATTTTTTGAGACAATTGCATGTTTGAGTTTGAGGCAAAAATTTAGTAGAATATTTAAAATTAAGTAATTTTTAGTCTTAGCAAAACAAGAAAAAGAGGGCAATAACATCACGAACATCACACAAATGAAATAAATAAGTAACAAAAATATTATGGTAAAAATATTTTTTCAAATTTGAAGAAAAAGGTCTTGTGAAAACAAAAAATTAAAATGAACAATCAAACCTTTCAACACTTATGGAACTCCACCCTTACAATTTCATAAAAGAAGGAAACATTTGTGAATGAAAATTAAATAATTAATACATTCTTAATGACATGTTTACAAAAATGCAATCATTTTTAAGAACAAATGAGTCGTTGCAGTTTTAAGCTAACAATATTCAAGTATATGAAGTACCTCATCGAAATCAGCAATAATTTCATTAAGCAGACGCAGGCACTCAACACCTTGATTGTTGCCATCCAGCTCCATGTAGAATTCATGATAGTTGGTGATTGAAGCAAATACTACCCCAACTCGTGAGTAGCTTTGATGATACAAGTCCTGCGACAGAGTGTTCTGTGGACGGGGCCAGCGGCAGCAGGTGGGAAAGAGGGGAAGCAGGAAAGAAGGGCAGAAATCAGAATGAGTAACTTCCCACACACAATAATTCACACAGCACATTTAATCAGCAATTACACATTGCGGCTGCTATCAGAAATTGTGCTATCCATCATCAACAAATTTATTTAAAAAAATTGGTGTATTTCATTTCAAAACATTAGCTTATGCATAAAAATCCTATTTCCACAGCTAAAAGTTAAATTAATAATTAAAATAATGATAAGAAATAAGTTGGAAAAGTGATAAACATCTCATAAGTCAGTTATTTTATGACATTATTAAAATGAAGCACAAAGTATTAACAAAATTTTGAAGAATCTCGCAATTCACATTGCTCCTTTCAACAAATCTTGAAAGGGATCATAATAGCACACTACAATTCCTGCAGCAGCAAAAGATTACAGAAGTGGATACTGCATGCATGCAGCTCCTTTCTCCACTAGCTACACAATCGCGAGGAACAACTTTACATAAAAATAACATACTATTTGAAGTTCTAGATGTAAGGCAAATGAGAACCAGAACTCCACCTAACTTCAAATTACTGATAAATTGCTACAAAGAACTAGTGCACACAAAAGAAAAGAGCCTAGAAATGTTTGCGATGAAACCAATAAATATTAAAAGCAATGATGAGAGTAAATTGGCCAATTCAAACCAACTTAGACCCAGTAACTGGCACCAACTTCTTACTTAATTACAATAAAACTAGATATACATAACTTATTTTCATGCATACATACTATGGTAACATGCAGTCACAACAACAAACCTCTATAACAGCTTCCAGATTGTTGATAAATTTTCAACAATTTAAGACCACGCATACAAAAATAATATATTCATTGCAAACTCTGAAAATGGCTATAATAATCAAACCACAATAATGCAAATTAAGATTAGTATTTTTTTTAAAAATCATTCATAAAATTATATTAAGATTCCTAAAATTTAAACCAAAAAGACTTCATGTTATGAGCGCATGAGCATCAAGAGAAATTGGATGTAAGATAAAAAATCATTAAAAGAGCTTTTAAGCATAAATAAAATAAAAATAATGAAAAAAAGTATTATTGTACAAAATAAATGTAATCCAATAGAAAATTTCCCATCCCCTTAATGTTTCCTACCTGTCAAAAATAACCAGAGTTTGCTTAATATTACATTTTTGCATGCTTGAGTAAGAAATATAAATGTATGGCATGTTCTGGTTCAGAACTGTTATAACCAAATAGTGTACATATTCAAAGACAGAGGCCTCCATGAGTACAGCAAAAACCAAAGTTATTATAAGAATATTAATAGAAGCATACAAGGTTCACACTCAATACAAATAATATATAAATATATTAATGAAATAATGACTTGAATTCTAAATGTGGAAATAACTAAATTATTAATTTGCAACTAAGAACACAAGGATTGTTCAAAATGTAAAAAGGAATAAAGTACAAGGAATAATTGTGGGGAAGACAACACACTTGGAATGGAATTTACAATAAGGTAGATAAAACACTTGGAGCCAAGCAACAAGGAACCATACCAGCAGCCATTATCCTGGCAGACATTTTCGCCATGCTATGAATTAAATACACCATAAATCAATTAACATGTGTCGCCTACACTCTTAATCCACACTACATTGCCAACTTCTGAGGGTAATATTCTCAGATTCATTGCAAAAAAAAAAAAAAGTTTTATTGAAAAATTGTTTTCTTGTAATGAGAACTAATTTGAACAACCTCCCCTGCAGAGTGCACTGATGAGCAGTCAAACTCCGTTTCACCAATTCTGTACGACCCAATGGAGTGAAAGTGCATGGCAAGATCTAAAACCCACCAGAAATGGTCTACATCAGGCTTGTCAAACAGATGTTGACATTTACGAAATCAAATGTTTTTAAAAATATTTGTTTTTAATATTAAGTGCACTTTTTATTTGCAATAAATGAACAGAAAAAATGTCCCAGTCAACAATTAAGGTACTGAAACGGTCTACCGACATGTTTGACAGACCTGAACTACTCCCTACAGCAAAATGGAAGCTCTACTCCCAAGAAGCAAGGCACATGAAAATGGAAGCAGCAATGCACTGCACCTACCAGGAGCTCACTGCAGCTCACCAAACCAGTCATCACCTTTTGCACACGTGAGGTAAGGAGTTAACAGGAGCAGATGGTACGGAGTGGGTTTTAAATCACTTTGGGGGCAAAGGTAAGCTGAAGAGCGTAAGGATCAATATCCAGAAATCTGGAGCAGAACCTGTTTGATTACAATTGCTTCCACAGGAAGCAAATTAAACTGTAATGCAATAATGAATAAAAATAAAACAGAGTGCTCTAACAGAAACAGTGCAACATCTTAAATTTCAAAACATCCAAATATTTTGCAGGAACAAAAAAATTATTCTTCATTAATCATAGTGCACATGAATTTCGTAAGGAACTGACTTATAATCTATCAAATGACATTCAAATCTCTCTTTGCAGAGAATTTGATTTTTGTAGTTTTCTTACCATATTGCTTCGAAACTGGTTGTCAAGAAAATGTGTTGCTACATGGGCGGGAAGGAGATTGAATAAAATTCGTTTATTGCTATGCTGGAGAGCATCCATTTCTCGTTTTTCCTCGTTGGCCTGAAACATTTAAATTCAAATTGTATAGCCTAATGCAGAAGTTCACAATTTGTCAGAAAAAATAAGAGGATAAGTGAATGGGATTTATTACTTCCACAAGTCACCACTTTTAATAAGTTAATATCATTTTATTTGACAAAAAATGTCACGTTTCTTAAAAAATTACCAAACCATGAAGGAGGATTCACAGTCTTATATTCATAATATATAGTGAAAGACTTTAATAGAGTTAATCTTTAAATATACTATTAGTCTTGAGAATCGTGTATAACAACAACAATAAAAAAAAAAAAAATACATTGCAAGTAGTTTTGTAATGATAATTTGGTAACATTTGGATTTAAAGACCATGCTAACATTGTCAAATAGATAAAAGGTATCAAATGAAACTCACTTGAATTTGCCAGAGGAAATCAAGTCTTGCTGTCCACTCAACTTGCCGTCCATGTATGATAACTGCCAGCAGGAACATTAACACATATACAATACCCACTTCATGAAGAGGCACAACAGACCTGCACAAAAGTAAGGAGTTGCAGTGGGATGTTACTTCTTACATTAGGTCAAGTACAATAAAATACAGAAAATAATTATCATCTAGTTAAAATGTGTATTCTCTGAAGACAATTCTTGATTTTCATTATATAAATTGCTTAAATTTCATTTGTGAACAAATTTTTGTCACTCTTGTGAGCTTGTTTTTCACTTGTGTACATTATTTCATAGTTTTTCAAAAGAGGCATTTGATTAAATTTTTTTATTTCTAAAATATAAGATTTTGTTGATAAATTGAAATTGGTCCATTTTGCACACTCATGATGAACATCAAGAAAATGCAATTATGTAAAATGTATTATTTTGTTAATGTTAACATGATTTAAATATTGCTTTCTTTAATATTTTATACATTTTTCATGAAATCACAAAATTTAGGAGACCTCTAATGTAAGCATAGAGAGAAAGTATGTTATTGTTGCCGAGATGTGCAACATTTTATCATGGACTATTTTGCTCCAGAAATTGTATAGTACATTTTTAAATCACTGTAACAACAGACAATTAAACACAATTTCAAAACAAAACCACAACTACAAAATCAAACACATTTGATAAAGTAAGAAAGATACAATAAAGTGCAATTAGTTCCAAACTTTAATTGTAAAATGATGTTACATTATTCTGGTGTGATGTGAGAAATGTCTATTGTATTGTTTAAGAAAGCTACAGACTCATCTGGTTTCTTGTCTACTAGAAAATAATTTTAAAATACTTTCTTTTAATAATGCTTCAATACAATTTTTTTGATATTATGAAGAGTAAGATTTTCTAAAGAATCATAACATGAAGTCCACCACAGTTTGATCCCTGTTTGCCTAGCTGTTTGGGAGATGTAATATCCTATGAAATATTGAAAATCTTTCAATGGTTTCAACCTTGAATACAATGAACTTGCAGCATTGCCTAGCAAACAGGATCTCAGGCAGCCAAGCAAACATATAAAGATGATAAACTAACTCTTACAATATAAACCCCTCAAAATTTGTACATACCCTACACGTTCATCGTAGCAAGTGAAAAGTGCACTGTGCGAGAGCTCCATTAATAAGATGTACACGGTGGCCATCACGATTAACAACAATGCTTTTGCTATAACAGGCAGTCTCAGAAATATGGCCACAGCTAGGTATCCAAGAGAACAGGACAATATGATGTACTGCGGCAGAGGACATGCACGATGGTCGTCACTTGGGCCATCCAACGTCACATTACCAGTGCCATGGAGGGTGCACTGCATTGGCAAATCAGTGCGGCAAGTGAACTGTGAAACACCCAAACAATGTTCACTGAAAATTATAGTTTTAACTCTACAATATCATGATCAGTTAGTAACATTTCAAAGATTTCAACAAAGGAATAAAAAACAACCACCCACAATACAAATGGCAAATTAAAAAAAAAAAGGTCTTGAAAATTGTAAAAAAAATTTAAAAAATAATTTTAGCTTATGTAATGCAATATACATGCATCTTTAATGTTAATTGGCAAAATTTTTTTAACCCCCTGTATTTATCTTACAAATCTCATGAACTTTAAAAACAAACAGTTTAATTCAACTGCCACTAAATTTCAATGACTGGAAATTAAGAGGAGTGGATTTATTTTCTCCTCTTCATAAATATCTCTTTTAGAAAATTGCCTATTCATCATATTGAATTCTTTGTGTAATCAATCATCACTCACCACATTGACCTGTGCCACTGTGTAGATGAGCACAATGGTAAAAATAGTGATAGCAAGGCGCAGAGAAAAACTTTGCGATATGTCCCAGAGAATCCAGCGTAGCTTGACAGCCAACAGAAGCATGAGGACCACCGCCACCCACACAAAGGCAGTGAGGAAGAGCAGAAGCAGAATGATTGTTTGTGGCAAGATCACTGCTTGCACACCCCCCAGCAGCACCAACAGTGCCAAGGAGCAGGCGAGGGAGCTACCAAAGCCCAGATCCAGGTCCTCATGATACTGCAGACAAACAACACATTTCTTCTGTGAAGTTCACCTCAGATAAATACACAACAATTGAGTTGGTGATTTGAAAAGGGAAATAAGTCCTTGTTCTATTGTTCTAAGAAAAAAAAAGAAAAGAAAAAAGAAGAAAAAGAAGAAAAAAAAAAAGAAAAAGAAAAAGAAAAGAAAAAAATAAATTAAAACCACACTTAATATCATCCACAATTGACATCTGGGATATTTATGTTCCATGCAAAAGTTTCCTACTTGTTATTGACAGCTGGGGCTACTCCGTAACTTAAAATTTGCATTTCGGTGATGTACAGAACGGTTTTTATTCTCAACTTATTTCCTTTATAAAAAAATTATACAATTTTTAAAAAAGCATTTTTTTGGGGCTTATGAAACAATATAATCATACAATAAATATATAATGATGTGAAATAACATATTGTGCTATATGGACATGAAACAATATTCTTACAGAATTAATAATATCAGCATCTACTCATCATCAATTTCTGCTCGATATGTAACTATATCAAAACTTTCTGGTGCAAATTGTGATATTTATTTGGGAAGTATTTTACTATTTTTTAAACATTGGTCATTTTCTTTCCATTAAATAGAAGAACAGCTAAAACAAACTTTCTTGAAAGGCAAATCTGGACATGCCTTCCCTTTTGCCAATATGACAGTACTTGATAAGATCATCAATATATCAACTCACAGGCCACTAAGTAACCAAAATATTCTCTATCATACATTAGCTGCTTTATTTGGAAAGAATCATACCAGGATCACAATGTATATCTCAATTCTTTATGAGACAAGTGGACTTATTTCCCTCTTAAAATCACTGATTCAATTATTCTTAACCCTGGAATGACAGATGGAGAGAAGAACCTAATTGGCTGAGCTCGTTTCCTCTTATTCTGGAAAATTAAGAGAGTTTATTAAATTGTATTTAAACAGCAATGTTTGGAACATTCTAATTCATTGTAACACTAATCTACTATGAGACCACAAAGAGCAAAGTAACAAGTCAATAGGATGTATTCCTTGGAAACTTTGCACTCTTTTAAATTAAACACAAATTTTAATAAAGTTTTCAAAAACAACAACAACAACAACAACAACAACAACAACAACAACAACAATGGATGAGCTGGGACTCCCAAACCTGTTCTAATATGAAGTGGTTTATGGTAAATGTAAATTTGTGCATCTTTCTTCCTTTTTCCTAGAGTTAGACTTGCACAATTGTTAGGTCCCCAGGGTCTCCCTGCCAGTATATATTGATTTTACTGATTTGTTTACGGCAGGAGTGCCTCATGGTGTCGCAGTATGAATTAGTAAAAATAATATGATGATAATGATAGTGATAGTGATCAAAAGGGAATAGGATGGGAAGATTGCAAGCAGTCCAAGGTCTGATGTACAGGTGCTACTCAGACATTCACCAGGAAGTGATTAGGGAAATAAGATCAAAGCAGTCTGCCTACAAATTTGTTTCTGATAGTTGCCACCTCAAACTCACCAATGTTCAAACACAATAAGAATATTTCTAGCACCTTGCTGGAGTTAAACCTATAACCTCCCAATCACTGATGGGCTTGAGCCATAAGGCATTGTCCTTAAGCTTGTCACTACCTGTGTTGGTAAATTTATATATTTGGCACCTAGACCACTTTACACCAGAAGACGACATCAAAAGATTTAATGACAATTCCATGAATGAAAATTCACAAGATTTACCACAAACATTATAATAAATTATATGGTTAAAACATATACTCATATTTTATCAAATTTATTTTTCATAAATACACTAAACTTTCTCTAATCCAGTCTTCCAAAGTTCAGCCCACATCTAGCACCTAGCCTATCAAGAAGAATGAGGAGTCCAACAATGGATTAATTGGCATGCATTAATTGATTAATGGACGTCCATCAAGCAGAATGACTTTTCCAACAATGGATGCCAAATTATGCAACAATCTGCTGTTAGTTAAAAATGTTAAACAATATTATACATATTTGAAACTTCTTACAGTCCAGTTCACTACTATGTCTTCAAGAAGAAATATGTTATGCTAGACCTCAAGCAGAAACTCAAAATTTTAGTTTAAGCTGAACCAAGATTCTTTGCCATGAGCCATAGCTGGTGAGTACAATGCTGAACAAGCAACAAATTAGCTATGTAAATGAATTGAATAAATGTATGTAATAAATGTATCTTTGGGTTTAATAAAGTACTGTAAAATCTCTCTGTGTTTAAACTAATTTCAAAGCCTCTCAACAGTATGGCACTCTGACTAATCCGGCACCAATATGGGTAAGGATGGCCAGATTAGCGAGTATAGTGTATTCGAGTCCTATTTTAATGTGATTCCCACTTCAAAAATTTTTCATTATTTAAGCAGACAAAAAAAGTGCAGAGTTTACAACTTCTATAACGATAATAAAATACTGAAAGATTAAATGAAATATTACAATTATATGTCTTCTCACTTCATCAATTTTGTATTGCATTAATTAATAAATACGTTATATAATTAATTGAATTTTAAAAATAAATTACAATCAAATAGTTACAAATTATTATTTTTTTGCAGAAACCTGAAAATTCCAGTCACATAAAACGTTGTAATGCTTTCTGATCGCATCTTTGCGTTTCTTCTTCAAGTTTGTTACACAATGCTAAAACTCATTTAACATTTTATCTTTAAATTACAAAAAATAGTGTCTATTTTACCTGACTTTCCTTCTCTCTGTCTTTGAAGCACAATGTTGCAAGGTTGACGTGGGTTGCCTTTTCACGATCCACACTGCGAGCATCAATTGCTTGAGCCAGGTACTTGTTCACACGGTTGGAAGGCTGGTGGTACACAGATGAATGGCGTTTTTTAAATGGACGTTTGAACTTCTCAGTGACTTTGTTCTGTGAACATAAATACATAATGTCAGTAAATATCCTCCAAGCTGGAAAATAAAGGACTGCTGTCCTTGCAATTATTTCATCCCAATATCAGCATGCTGGGTGAAATAACTTGGTACTTCATTTGTTGCTCCATAGAACTATTATTTCCCCGCCTCCCTAAATCTAAGTATAATGAACCTATAGTCACCTAAGAAATTACTAAAATATGGATATATTAAAAATTCATTACATAATATATCAAAAATTTGCCCACAAATACTAATATTTTTTACATAAGGGATCTTCAAGAAATCTACAATGTTAATGAAAATACTTATATGAACTGCACTACTCGATATAAAATGACAAAACATTAAAAATAAATAAATAAATAAAATAAAAATAAAAAAAAAATTAAGCTGAATGAACATTTTCTTAGACAGTACGAGAAATATGAATACAAGCCAAACATGGAAATGAATTAAAAACGCTTTAATTTTCACATAGTCACACAAATTATAATAATTTTTAAAGTCTGGTTAGACCCCTGGTAACAGAGGAAGATATGTATATTCTCAAAATTTTACTTTAGTTCCTATGACAGTCAACAAACAAATTTGTAATAATCAAAAATAAAAAGTTCTTAGAGACAATCATGCTTCTATCTCCCAACCAAACTCTTTTGTGAGTAGGCTGTTTACTGATAACAAAGCATACCGAAGTGTCATTCGCAATGAATTCTAGAAAGCCACATTTTACAACGCACATGCAAAGGGAAAGTTTGTGAGATTTTAAATTTGAAGAGACGTAAGTCAATTATTGTTTAAGCCCTAGGCCCAAAAACACCATTTTTTAAATATTGAGGGTGTGTTTGGGAGATAGTCAACTTTATGCAAAGGAGCAAGAATACTGTACCTTAAATTCCCTTATAACTCCCATTTGCAGATAAGTTGCACAGAAAATAATTTCAAGAATCAATAAATTAACAGTGTGACATGCTTATCATCCACAATATTTTAATTTTTATATAAAACTACAGTTAATGTTAAAGTCATGCTCATACGCACAGCAGATGCATTAAAACAATTACAAGTCAATCAAATAATGAAGCCACACTCAAATGTTCTCACCTCCATTAGCAGTGCAAATACATAATAAAAAATATTAAATAAATAACAGCTACATTTAACACAAAGAAATGCACATACATGTGTACCAGCCATATTAAGGCACATCACTTCATTTAAAGACAATCACAAATATTATATTTTAAACAGCTCACAATCTTGCAAATTGCAAGTGATAGAAGTTTGCAGTGTAAACACTGCATTTACTTGTGCATAAGCCACAAATCAATGCCAAACACAAATTAGTGCAGACAGAGACATGATCAAGAAGAGAGAATAATTTGATAATTTTTTTTCGAAGCATTAGGCTATATGAAGAATAAGTGCAAATTCTGCCAAACAAATATTACATTTATTAATTTTGTCTAAATAATCCCAGAGTGTATCAAGCAAAGAATCAGAATACCCCTTCTCTCAGCAAAATCATTTCACACTCCAGAACCATTGCTGCACAGCAGTTAATTGCAGAGTGCAATCTGATGTTAAGTCGGGGTCAAGTTCTTTCACTTCAAGCACACGCTTGTGGAGCATTGAGGGAGGTGACAGCTTCAAGAACATTTTAAACTCCAAATTCATCTGGCTTACAGACAAGCAAATGCAGGACTACATCAACGAGCACCTTCAAGACTATCATACTGACTAGCCAGCCAGTCAAAAATTGGTCAAAGCAAACAGAATTTTTTAAAAAACAAACAAAAAACAATTACAAGTCACAAGACCTTCCCAAGGGACTCGACTCTTTCTGCTCGTCTCGTGAAACGCGACAAAAACGTCGCCAAACTCGTCCAGGGCAACAATTTGCTTCACCTCCCTTCCGTTCGTGCTGCTCCAAAGTGGGCACTCTCTCTTTGCACACGACCACCAACCTGGCGGCGGGCCTGACCGATTTTTGACTTGGTGGGCGGGGGGTGCTGTGATGGTGGTGGGGGCGGGCCGGGAGCGGGGCCGGCCGCGGAGGCGGCGGGCGACCGGCGGAGGGCCCTCACCTTACTGGCGATGTCGCGGAGGTCCAGCCCCTCGCCGCCCCCGAAGGGGCGCGCGCCCGCGCCGCCCGCGCCGGGCTCAGCGTGCAGCACCCGCTGCAGGTCGAGAACCTACAAGCAAGCGCTCACAGTCACCCCGGCCCACCCACTGCTCCTGCAACCGGGCGACTGGCCGGCGGGCGACGACTCTCGTACTTTCTCGCCTTACTTCGTAAGAGGAGAAAGTATTGCAATCGTGCGCCGGAAAACGGAGGCTTTTTTCCACACAAAAACTCTTAGTGCCGGGCCCTGGTAACGGAAAAGTGGATAAGTATTGTTCCTACATGTAGAAAATTACTTCCTCTAACATGTGTTGCCAGAATGCATGTTTTGTGGGTCCTTGATACCGCAAAATGGATGGACGGCAAAACGCCCGTAGTCAAAGCTCACGCTCAAACAATTCAGACGATGATCTCCAAAACTGATATTTCCCGATCGATTTAAATGAGCTTGAGGTCCACTGAGTTTGAAATGGATATTTTGATTTTTCGGTGTACTTCACATGAAGACTGAAATTACGTTTTCAAAATTTTCACACAAATAGCTCCAATTGTTATTTATTAAACTTTGTCCATGGATAGCGTAAAGGACACAGGTCTCATTTATGTTAAAATTTCTGTTTTTTCGAAAATTGCAAAAGTTCACAATTTTTGCCCAACATGCAGCTGCAGCTTTTCTTGAATTGCTTTCTCAATATTGCCACAGAGTATTTTTCCTCTTTGCTGCTTTTATAACAGTATTCTACTTAAATGGGGGTATTTCACACTTGTTTCATTTAACGTTATGCTTTAGCCGTTTGTCAAAATAATACACGCCCCTGGCTGTCACCTATCTCCCTCACCCACTTCCCAGCACATCCCCTTTTCACTTTGGCTTCCCCCGAAGGGCCTCGCACCCAGACCACTGTTACGAAAGGGCACACGTCGGGGAGCCTGGTCAACGACTAAGAAGATAAACGCGATAATGTTAGCCCGCGGGACGAACATACAGTGCGAACTGGAAATATTTTTGTAGAGGAACATTTAATACCATGCAAAATATTTTCTGCATTTTTTCACAAATCCTGATTTTAGAATAGGACATTTTAATCCATTCGTTTTCACGCTGAATAGCTAGAATAGCCAATAAGAATATTTTTTCAAGACTCTTAGAAGTGAGTAACCTGGAGATAAACCTGACAATCCGACCCCACAAATATCAAACTGGCTATTCACAACGGTGTGCGAGTACAACGGAATGAAGTTCACGTACCGGGTTGCTGTTTTCGTCGTGCCTCGGCTTGGAGGAGGCGCATTCTATTCCTAAGACGAACCAATCGCTACAAAAACAACACCGACACTTACTTTCTTTTTTCTCACTCGCGCGAGGATAACCAATCGAGGCGTGCCTTTTGCAGAGGGAGACGAGAGGTTTAGGAAACCTTGTCCGCAGGGTGCAATCGGGGTTCGCGGAGAAAACCTATTAGCGCCTCGGAGCCACTCGCAGGTACTTTAAAGGCAACTTCACATCGGATTAGCTAGCGGATATTCGGTACTACATATTAAATTCCCACTCTTTACCGTTTATCGTCGTTTCTCTGGCATCTTACGAATGCTGAGATAGTTAGTTTGCGTCTGGACCGCAAATTGGCTCAATCCTACAAGCGTCCCATTATTTACACCTATTAGTATTCATAAATATGATTTCTATATTAATTTCGTCATTTCTCTTTCTTAGTAATGTTCTTTAATAGTTACTTGGTATTATTTGTTTAAATTGTTCTCAGGTTTATCATTTTTACTATTAGGGAGAAATGATTCCTTGCCTTTAAAGACATTCTGTTCCTCAGAGGCATGGTATTCATAAAGATTACTCAATGGAGTAAAAAAATCAAGGCAGGGTAATTCGCAAATAAATCCTTCTCTGTAAGGATTTGCACTCACTGGCCTAGAGCATACAAATAAGGCTTGACAAACTTACAAACTAGATTTGGTAAATAAGTGACCAGCATACAAGTAGTGTTCATGACATTAGGTTGTAAGCAACAGCTACAGAATTTCCCATTTACCTCTACAGTTAATGGGATGAGCTTGTACACTCAATTGTGTTTTAGGACTTAACTGTCCAAATAATTTAATGGAGCAATTTATTTATGCTTAACCATAATGAAGTCTTTCAAGTCTCTTTATTTTGCAGTTTTACATCTGAAGGAAACCAAATTACTATTTCTACCTTCACAATTACAGCTCTAGTTTTTATTCTTGCGCGTTTGACATGCACATGAATGATGACAAACTAAGATAAACCAGAAGGCAAAAAATATCTATGCATTTTTTTTTATGATCATCAAATTCAGGTTTTCATGAGTCTTCTACTTTCTAGCTGTTTAACAAGATATGCTTTTCATGTATTTGAATTGTTCCAAGGACAATATTTTATTGTAAGAAAATGAAATTGTCATGTTCTTTTAATATTTTTTTTATGCTTGATCTAACAAATATTCATTGATTCATCACAGAATCAATCTAATTGTTAGAATTGAAGTGCAAATATATTGAAGCAAAATGAAAGTAACTTATATCAATTTGTGATCATTTTCAAACAGAAATAAAATTTTGGTTTTCACAATGACAACATTGCTTGAAACTTTCATCATTCTTTCATTTAATTTACATTTTTCTTTTAAGTTTTATATTAGTCATAAAATATCCATTGATTTATACAAAGTAAATATTTTAGCTTATTACTCATGTTGCCTTATTTTCTTTCTTGCCTGGTTAGGCCAGAAATGTAATACTTTTCATTGCAAGAAAATATGTTGATAGAAGTAAAAAAATATTTATTTAAATTCCTCATATTGTAAATAATTAACTGATTTTTAAACATTTGGATTTGTATAAAGATACAAATTAAAATACATTGGAAGAGGATCTGGAGAAGCAGTATGGCTAAGGAGAAGTTCTTAGATAAAATGGAGCTGGGAGAGAGATATTGTGGATTTTATTTGCCTGGCATCATAATAGCATTTATCCAAACCTAGACCTCATAGAAGCAGGCCCAAATTGTAACATTTGTGTTGATGAAGATCAAAGTAATATTGAACACAAAAACCAACAACAAAAAACAAAATAAAAATTATATTTGAGTGAAGTTTGTTGAAAGTTTTCAGACAAATGAATTTTATTTTTCAAATCATTATCAAATTAAAATATAAAAATGTTGTTCAAGGCCAAAACAATTATTTTTTAACAGTCAAGACTGAATAATTTGTAGTAGTACAGCAAACCATATTCAAGTTTCATTTGTCTTTCATAATTTTTCCATTAAATTGTTAAAATATTTAAAAACAATTTTACTTGGTGAGAAAGGACGATGATATTCCTGGAAGCCACCTTTCCTGAATCCGCACCTGCAGAGAAGCATTGTTCTACAGAATTGTGATGCCTGAAGTTCTGTTAACACTTATGGCAAAAGCAGCAGGAGTAGCTGAATAAGAAACAACTTTTCACCCAGCACCACTTAACTAAAGCCCTTTTCTTCCCTACACCACAGAAGCACACAGAAAATTCTCTCATAGAGAGTGACCATGCAACCATCGCAGATAGACAAACACTGAAGCCTCCACCAACATCTGTCAAAAAGCTTGTGGTCATTGATTATTTTTATACCATAAGTTTTTTTTCTATGTGATCCATATGAATATGAAACTACAGAAATAATACATTCTTGACAGTAGGGAAGAATAAAAAAAGTGTACTGCCTTTACACTTTTTATTTTTATAGTTAGTAAGTAGTAGTCTATAAATGCGCTTTTTAAAGTAAAGCATGCAAAATGTACTAAATGAGGACTACCAGAACCTACATTATTGAATAGATTACTTACACCCTGTTGGTATAATAGGCATAAATGAAATTTACAGAGTTCTAATATAGATTACAACGATGAAATCATGCACAATACTTAATGCTAAAGAATACCTTAAGCATAATCTACAACGAACGGTATACTGACCCACAACATCGACATGTTTACACAAAATCTAAAAGCAACAACAACTACAATAAAACTAAATGTTAGTCAGACATGTCTTGATAATTTAGTTGACCACTAAGAAATAAATGTGGAACCAACACAGCTCTGGGTAGAGGCCTAGTGGATAGTTCAAGCCATCATCTATGAAATATAAATATTTACTTTTGTAAAGAAATCAAAGAAATGATCAAGAAGTTTTGCTTTTGTCCAGAGTTAACATTTATCATTCCCATAAACCAAGAAGAGAAGTTTTTTTCAACGTTTCTAAAAAATTATAGTTATAGACACACAAATGAAAGATTCCCCCTTTGAAAATATTTTACACAAAACATAAGGACACAAAATAAAAGGAAGGCAAGTTCAAAAAGAAAAGCCATGTACAAAGGTGTCAAAGATAATAATTTCTCTGAGAAAATAACTCTTCCAATTATTAAAAATAAAAATAATAATAAAAAAACAGATATATAAATAAAACAAATACAGTGTCTAACAAAAGAAAAAGAATCTTCTGTCAGAGATTTTCCTTCAATTTGCAAAATGTTGATAATGTCTTCCTGTGAACAGATGAGAAAGCAAAAATTTAAAGGAATGTGACAATCATGAAAATTTCTTTCAACAAAACCACTACCCTGCCCACCGAGTTGGTTCCTAGAGAAATAAAAGAGATAAAATACTTACCTTCCTTGCTGCATTGGCCTTGTGGTCACCAGGCTGAATAGCAATGTTGGAGAAGGGAACTTCCATTGAATATTTTATGGAATGCAGAAGCTGCACCACAACACTGGACACATTCTTGAAGGATAACTTGCGACGTTGTGCAGCACCAAGTGTTGATCGTACCTGATTAAATAAATCCATTATCACATGGTAGAATGGTTTTGGTTTAAAATAAAGGACAAGGAAATTATTAGTTCATTATTAAATCAATAAGGATTTTTATTTAACAGCCATAAGTTCACACAAATCTAATTTATATCACCATTTTCTTTATTATCATCATTAATATTCTCATGCCTATTTGTTTAATGATTACCTACAAAAAATGTTCCTGCCATTGATAATCGTACCTGCTGCAATTATCACTTTCTTTCACTCATGTAAAATGTCTCTCATATAAAATTTTCAACATTTAGACGTCTTGTTTTTATAGTTGCTTAGTGAATATTCCAGACAACTTACTTTGCGACGACGAGCCGGAGGTACAATAAAGTAAGTGGTAACGCTGTTATCCCGCAGATATTGATTTCGTGATGATCCATGTCCTGCTTCAACTTCATACTCACCACCCAGACAATCAAGAGTAGCCTGGGTAATGTGTACACGTCTGAAATATAAATAGAATTTAAGTACAGAAAAAATAAATTATTATTTTTTAATAAATGAAACTAATTGCAACTTTTCAGAGAATGCCAAAACTAAATTTCAGTATAAGTACAAGTTATTGCTGCAAAACAACAAATTGAACTGAAAAGACTCTATAGCCTCAGGTTAGAGAGATAATGGAAATTCACTAATTTTTATTCTTGTCCATATAATTTCTTTCTGCCTGGGAACAAAATTTTATTTTTTGTACAATAATTCACACATAATTATTATAGCTCAAATTAATATACTACACCTTCATTGCCTTTACTCTTACTAACTTATTCTATTACCTTTACTGAAACAAGTATTTTAGCAACGAATTTTCTCTTAGTGAAAACAAAAACACATGTAATGCATTCGTGGGAAGGCATATAGCAGAAGAACATTTATTAACAATCCCTTTCGACAAAGTACCATCATTTGCCTCTTGTTTCTCTCTATGATAAAAAGCTCTTGCGCATGGGTGGGCATACTGCCTTTGTGGTCACTCTCTGAAGTGTCTCTACTGTGCTCCAATGATCAAAGGTTTCACTGGTTTGTGATGATGGTGGGTCAGGCAAGAAATATTTGCACACCATTGACTATGGCATAATCTAATTCAGCTAAACATAGGTGCACTACAGGGGTCTTTGTAAACCTTGTGTGACCCAGAAAACGCCAACATAAAACATGAGGTACGAGAAAGAGGGCTTGGGAAAAATTGTGTATCATTTATATATTTAAATACACATACATTTCTTCCATTTTTTCCAGGCCATAAATTCAATGAACACTTAAACATAACAATTTAAGAATGGCTATTAATTTGAGCCATAAAACAGCTGTTAAAAAGTCATCACAGCTGTTTAGAAATAACTATATCAATTCTAGTATAAACAAACTCCAACAGAGAGTAATTGAGCAAGGAAAGATTTCAAAGAAAATTTCAGAAGCAAACATTTTTAATATTTTTGACCTATCACTTATCTCAAATAAATTACATAAGCAGTCTGATTCTTTTGGTTACATTTATTTTCTATTTTTAACTTAAACCAACAGAACAATTATACATGTAACAAAAATTAACAAGAAAATCTTTAAAGTGAGCACAAATAGAGAAAGACCAAAACTGACTTACCCTGGTTCACCACCAGCTTCCATATTATTTGCAAGAGTTACATCATTCGACCATACATCATACTGCCATTTCCTGAGCCCCAGCACTCCACACAGTACTCTACCTGAATGGATTCCCACCCGCATGTTCAGTTGCACATCTGTCGCTTCAACGACAGACCTAGATGCAAGGCAAGAAAACCATTAAAACAATGAATTACAGAAGCAACATTATCCATTTTAGCAATCAACAGTTATTCCACATTACCAAAGACACATTTATTTCATAATAAGTTAACCCCACATGTGTTGTATGAGATTTAAAAAAAATAAAATGCACAGTTTCCATGTATGAAATATTACATTTCTACATTTATTCTGATTATGAAATGTGCATATCACATTTGAAATAAAATTGGTTCTATTTTAAATAATTTCTTACATTGACATTTTTTGACAAGGAAAAAGATAAAAAGATTTTACAGACTAAGAAATTACTTACGCAATAGCATCTATCATGTCTAAACCCATTTCAACAGCACAATGTGCATGATCAGAACGAGGTTCAGGTAAACCAGAGACACAATAATAGCAATCACCCAAGATTTTAATACGTAAACAATGGTTGTCCTGTAAAAAAAAGTAAGTTTTGCTTAAGAGTTGAATTGATGTACAATTACAATTTCCATCAATCAAATTTTATCAAATTTTCATCAAAAGGGCCAAAGAATTTTCTACTAATCAAATATTAATAGAACTTGATCAAAATTTTCCATTAGTTTATGAATCTGTGAATTTACAATTAGGAACAAAATAATACAACAATAATAGTAAAGACCTTTTTCTTCTATGTTCAGTAGGAATTTTTACACTTTTACGCAAGTTCAAATGAAGGTTTTAGAATAGAGAACACAAAAATGTCTTCTCTATAGCAATAAGAAAGAACAGAGTACAATTATTCTCTGTACAGTATGAACTGACACCCATCAAAATCAATCTATTCTGAAATAATTTTTCACCAGTGTTCAAAACGGAAATATATGAAATCCACACTCTTACTGGGATTCATTTCAGTCGGATTGTAGAAACTATTACGCTTTTACTACTGATGAATTTTTAATATCAAATTCAATTTTAATGCATGGCTAGAAGTATCTTAAATCTAAGAATATGTCAAGAATTATGTTTTACTTTTTCTGTGACCACCAACTTCATCAGCAAATAAATACATTGTTTGCATACAAATTGAAGTGGCATATTTGAACTGAGAGTATTTAAATTTGTAGGCGTTTGATAATTAAAGTTGATATACTGCCTACAATGACAAATTGAAAAGAAAGTTTTCATTTCATTTTTAAATGTTTTAAAATACGAGTGAAAAATAATTTCGTTTTAACAGAGATATTCAATAGGAAATTCATCGCATTACTTTAAATTCAATAAAAATCTGCGACTTGCAATGTAAGCAAAGCATTAGGATTGTAAGAACCATGTTACAGAAGATCATAATCAATTAAATGCACGCCGCTATTAGAGTACACACATGCGCGAAGTTCAATGTTTGGCGGGTATTTGGTTCTTGAACACTTGCTACGAGAGCGCTCTTGTGGCAACTGTAAGAAACAAAAAGGCGCTCCGTACATACGACAGCGCTACATGCGACAGATGGTGAAACTTCTGAGCGCTGGCTTACGTTCGCCAGTTGGTCGAAGCGGCCGAACAGCTCGTTGAGGAGTCGCACCAGCTCCTGCGCGGTGCACTGCGACGCCAGCACGGTGAATCCTACGATGTCGGCGAAGAGGATGCTGCAACACGCGACGCAAGCGTCATATAAACGGACCTACGCTTCGGTCGCATGCGATCTACAGCACCAATAACATCGCATCTACACCCCAAAGCCGTCAACGCATGGATTGTCAGAGTTGCCCGGCCGATCCTCGCAATCGAGGGGACTATTAGGACGTTCCAGGAGTGACGTCACCACATATGGTCCAAGTGAAGGATAGTCGAGATAACAGCAGGAACTTGCCTCATCCGGAGAACAGGCACGATGTAACGCAAGAGGCACAGAGTTCGAGAGAACACGACGAATTGGAATCGATTAATATTCTTGTATATCAGAATTGTTTTATGTTTACAATATTGCAGTGGAATAAGACAATATCACACATGTCAACTCTAACATTGTCGATCAAATTATCGATCCATATTATTATACCAAATTACATAGAGACGCAATGTAGCGACCCCTCTTCTCTGTTCATATATATTTATACTGTTCTCTCGTATTTCCGTGCTTTTTCCCCTAGTCAGGGAACTTCGAAATGCCAAGACAAAGATGGAAGGTCGGAATTATTTTTTCTACAACTAATTCGCAGGCACTTTTACACACCTATCTCATACTCCCAATAAAAAATTAAATGACCTCGCGTAGAATTTGATAGGAATGAAAGGAATTATCTCCAATTTTTCTCCAAAGTTAGATTATTCACTCCAATATGCACCACGGAAAGAACTGATATTATCGTCGCAATTTTCAGCCACATATGCCGACTTCAAAATGTCAAGGTTCTTTCTGACATTGACGACAAAAATAATGTTTGGACGTGATCGAATTCATATTTAAACAGTTTTCAATTAGGCGTAGAAAAACATCTATTAACAAAATGTCATAATTGTTTGCTTATGAAACTTCGTCAAAGTCTGTCAGAATCTCGTCAATATGAAGCCATTTATGGATTACTGTGCCATTGGTGTCAAGAACCCATATTCGTCGAGGATAACTGTACGGACTCGATCCATCACGCCGCCAGCCCCTCCCTTCTATACGCCATTGTCTTCACGAGACTCTTTAAGGGATAGTATTCATTCCACTCAGCATTCGTTCTCTTCCGGCCAATTATATGCACGTGCTACACGTGCACCACGAATGTAAATGCGAGTGGGTGTACGTGCGTATGCATTTCTCCGTGCAGGAATGTGCGAGTAAGAGTGGGAATGGAATGGAGTGTCGAGGTGTCAGAGGAATCGAGTGTCAGTAAAATGGAGTGTCAGGGAGTCAGTAGAATGGAGTGTCAGGGAGTCAGTAGAATGGAGTGTCAGGGAGTCAGTAGAATGGATGTCAGGGAGCATAAATGGAGTGTCGAGGTCGAGAATCGAGTAGTAAAATGGAGTTGTCAGGAGTCAGTAGAATGGAGTGTCAGGGATCAGTAGAATGGGTGTCAGGGAGTCAGTAGAATGGAGTGTCAGGGAGTCGTTAGAATGCGAGTGTCAGGGGAGTAAGGAGTGCAGAGTAGTAGTGGAGTTGTCAGGGAGTCAGTGAATGGAGTGTCAGGGAGTCAGTAGAATGGAGTGTCAGGGAAAGTTGGGAGAGTCAGTAG